AAAAATGTCATTTTAATTAAAATTACCGATAACTGACGCATCGGAGCGCGACAGATTTGCTTTCTTCCTAAATTACGCGAGGTTTAATCTCTCCGAGATACGGAGTATCATTAACCGACAAGTATAGCAACGATAAAACGATCAGCGTACGAGAATTGACTCAACGTGAACGAAGAACAATGACGCTGACGTCTATTAGTTGACAATGAGACAGTAAACGTGAATAATGTCGTTCGTTTATCGATGACCCATTTATCGCACTTCGTTCTCTTCCTTGTGCTTCTTTGTTCTTGGTTCCATTGTGTCCCTGGCATTTAATTGCGCGCCGGTAATTGGGAACAACTTTTTTCAAGCACTTTTTTTTCATATTTTTTTTTTTAAAGATAAATGATAGTTTTTTGTAGTCTCGACATCCTCTATATGCGTTTTGTCCCTCTTTTGAGACGTGTTTTTCTTTCTCAGAACGACGCCGATATGCGATCGAATGAAAGAATTTAAGACAGAAAATCTTCTGAACTCATTTAGCGACCCTGGACATCCGGCACGGATTTAACCGACGTAAGATACGATGGTCGCTCGCCGCGCAGGACATTTGTTTCACGAATGTCTGGCATTCCTACTTTTTCATGCTCGGCAAGTGCATACCCATCGTCCGAGGTGATGGCGTGTATCAGGAAGCCATGGACTTCTGCATCGAAAAGCTGGCCCTCGGCGAGTGGGTGCACGTCTTTCCCGAGGGAAAAGTCAATATGCTTAAGGAAGAAATGAGGTTCGTACTCGAGTTACTTTCGTAATCCTCCGCTCCAAGACTTGATAACGCGATTTGTACAATTAAAAATGCTGTACCTTTGTAATTTGCCATTTATATTTTTGAATTGGCTATACTGACGATGAAAATCGATTCGATGGAAATGGGATAAATTTCTGTGACAATAGATTATTACATTTAAATGTTGTCTTATTTATGAAAGAGATATATCTTGGGGAGATCGCAAAGATCGCTTTTTAATACTCCATATATATGTGTGAAAATATATACGAAAAATGGGGTAAATTCGGGGGAAAATAGTATTATAGAGATGAGCGTAGATGAGCATTTTGCAGAAGTCACGTTAATAATATACTACAGTCAGCGAGATTATACAATCGATGATATTGTTTAGGTTGAAATGGGGTGTGGGTAGATTAATATTAGAATCGCCCGTTACGCCTATCGTAATTCCTATCTGTCATCTCGGTATGGATGAAGTACTTCCCAACGAGCCGCCGTATATGCTTAAAGTGGGAAAAAGAGTTACCATGAATTACGGTGAGCCCATAGATTTTAGCGGATTGCTGGCCGAATTGCGGGATTCAAAAGCGAGTGAGATGGAAGCGCGAAAAGCGATAACTGATCGCATTCACCAGGAGCTTTTAAGGTAGCGCTGTAATTAAATCATATCCTAACGTTTCGAGCGTTATTGAATAATGCTTGAAGGAACAATGCAGAGCAAAGAAAGCGAAAAAAAAAAAATATTTAAAAATTTTCAGATTGAAAGCAGCAACGGAAAAGCTTCACGCTAAGTTATGACGAAGATGATACCTTTTCCGTCGTCCTTCCGTCTAGCCAAAAATATAAAGAGAAATTGATACGTTAACAAAAGTGAGATTTGTATATGTAAACGTAAATCTGTGCGAAATCAGTTTCCTTTTTAATGCGTACATTCGTATTGTAATAGTATTTTTGACAATATTGAGTAACGTAACGTAAGCATCAATTGTGTAAGAAGTCATTCTACGACCTATGACGTTTCCATCGTTTTTGTAATTATTCCACGTAACTCTCCGAGAGATCACTTGACACACGCCTACATAATGTATCCGAAAAGTTGCGCACTTGATATACTCTTGCAATTTTAGATAATCTTCGATTAATATAAAATTGAGATTGTGTGTTTCATCTATGAGATTTATTTTGTTACATTAATCTAAAGTATAGACTTATTAATAAACTTTATTTTTTATTCCTATTGGTTTCATTACAGAGATTTAATTTTTAAGTTATAAATAGTGACAGCAATGAACAAAGAGTTGATTGCAACTTTGTCAAAGATTTGTAGCGAAATAAAAGTGCACGAGCTTTCGATACATTTTTTTGCTAATATATTCCTTCTCGGAGAGTTAGATATTTCTTGGATAACGTCTATTATACCGCCTTGTATAATATTTTATAAATATCTATATACAGAATGTCCCACTTCTCGCGCGCAAAAGTAGGATCTCTTGTATATGTGTATTACATATGTACATAGTACGAATAATTATAACACTATCATTATGATTTTACGATGATTGTCAATAAAAGTTTTGATAGTACAAGCGGAGACTACGTAATGTGCAACTGAGGTTTAATGTAACTATAAAAAGAATCGTGCCAGTACCTCATCCATTAATTTTATTTTTGGAGATCTAAGGTGTCACTATTAGCGCGAGTATAGCGCACACTTGGCCATTATTGATTATATGCTTCGCGCTCTCGTTACAAGCACCGTGCCAATTAATCGATTTGTACTCGTTTTGCTAAGAGTGTAATAGGTATTCACGTTTGCAGTTGAGATAAATGAGCACTGCAACTAATGCACAGTGCGTGGAAGATATCACTCGTAAGTCGTAATGTTGTAATTTTAAAATTTGCATAAAAACTCGTTTAAAAAGCGTGGATGTAGATGCAGCATGAACGGGAAATGATTTTTGCTACTTTGTTCGATAGCTGTGAAAGAAAAAAAGCCAATGTATTCGTTCGCCGATGATGCATGATTTTTTTGGGATATTTATTGCGATATATTTAAGTCGTTACAACAGCTGTTATTATGACAATCGCATATCTATGTACGCTCCCGTGCGTGTGCGTATATACACAATGTCGAATACACATACTTTTATACTATACACACGGACTGCTATCAAAATTTTTGGGGCTATTCGAACGTGATAAATTTATATGTATCATATACTTGTTGAATATATTATTAAGTATTAAAATATCGTCTTTCTCTATCGTCTGAAATAAAATTGTCTTGTTTGTTTTATCGTTTGACATTTCTCTTAACAGTAAACGTAAAATTTGTTCCCTTCCCTAGAATACGTAAGGTTCCTACACGATTTCTGCGTGCTATGTACACTACCTGTTTACAAATTACGTGTGAGGCAATGATTCTGCAAAGGGTAATCTAAAGTACGCATAAAAATCATGTTAATTACAAAAGACTCTTAAAGAGCTTGTTAGTCGATTCTGAAGATTTTATTACTATGTGCATGACACAATTTATTATCATAAAAGAATAGTATTTTTGTTGCCGATAAATGTTAACTCTAGATCTATCGTCCTTCGGCCAACATCTGTTTTTTTTTCCAAAAAATATTTATATTATCAAATACATTAATACATACTCTAGTAATGTCGCGGTATTTTTTGCAAGATTTGGTTGAACGTAAAATTTCATGAAATTACATGAACTTATTCCTTTATATTTTCGAGTGTATATAGACAACTTGTTGGAAGCTGATCCTGAAGAGTAGAGATAAATATATAATTTCCATCTTGTTATTTATATGCCTTTTGGATTATTTTCGTCACCATCTGTGCCAGAAGTCATTTGACGAATCATAATTTTACAGTTGCCATATACATCTAAGACAATAAGTGTATTAAAAGGTATGATTATATATTACAGCTTTCGTTATAATATCCACAGACAAATTGATTATACAGGACATATACTTGACCGTTGTCAACATATAGAAATAGATTACGCTAGGGCCTACTAACTGCTGGTATCATATTATCTATCAATACGAAGACCGCATATCCCTTGGCACGTTTTTAAATTTGTAAAACTGGACACTCCGGTCTTACAAGCGATACAAAAGCGGCGTACGATCCCTGCATTGTACAGTACGAACACGAACTATGTATTTATACTATATATTATGTATATCATAAACTTTGAATAGACAGAACAGCAGATGAGTATAACGAGAGAAGATTTTTACTTAATATACATACATATTATCACCCCATTGTGTATCACTGCCTTCATTTTCTTTTTTTATTTAAACAAATTTGATATATATATATATAGAAAGAGAAAAATAAGATCTGATTAACAATAATGCAAAATCGATCGCGAAACTTGGCCCGCGTTAAACAAGATATGTTACAAAATTCTACGATGCTATTAACTGTATAAGAGGGAGATATGTTGGACTAGAAAATGGAATTTCTCCAATAATTGTATCGCGAATGTACATCCTTGATTTACAGTCGAGCAGTCATAAAAGTCGAAATAAATCTAAAATCTAAAAATGTTTCAAATTGCTCCCAGCATAATTGCTGTATGTAAATTAGATAATATACAATTATATACTCCTATTATTACGTTATACAATATCTTTTTTAAATTACGTAATCTCTAGTGTATACACAAGTGGAAAGAATGCGATATGAGACGACTCGTAAAGATGGCAAATTTTTCAAACAAATTGATATTTTGATTGGTTGTTCTGTACGTTTAGGCTCGTTCCTGGACGGCAGATCTAATACAGACGAAGCAAGCATTGCATTATATTTCGTAAAAACGCAGAATAGGCCAAACGGGACTAATACCGATCATATATATATATATCACAAATTTAATAGTGTATTCTTAATATAATTGCTTTAAGCTACAATCCTCTTAACGTGGCGAGCATCAATAAACAAAATATTGAAATTTTTTTAATTTGTAAAATGAAAGTGTCGCGATCGAAAAGAAATGATATTCAGTACAATTAGGAGTCACAAGAAGCACAATACAGCTATCATCCAGACCTTTGAATTCATCATTATAATCTAATAGATACGTTATCTTGTCCTAATCAAGCAAGGGAAGTTCTTTGTTCGACATCGCCCAACAATCACGCTAGACTTGAAATAAAAAATCTGCGTGACTTTTTCTTTCTTCTATATATCTAACATTTTTAACGATGTCCATTTGTAATCCTTCGCAGTCTATTTTTGTCAAAATTGCAAATACTTCCGAGTAAAGCAGCACGGTCATTTGATGATTTTGATACACTATTCGACGCACCACCGGATGCTTCACATGGCGGTGGCAACGAAGGTGGTGGTGGTGGAACACTTTTGCCAGGAACTGCATTTGCTTGCGTAATTTCCACCGAACCTTTAGTGGAAAAAATTAAAATAACAGTACTTTTCATGACATTTCATTTTAGAAAATTCAACAAAAAATTGTCTAATTCGTCTCTTTAAGGAAATGAGAGTAGCTAATCATATCTGACAATTACATATTATACATATAGTCAACGTCAAAAGATCTAAAAGTATGCACTAGATGAGCAAAGGATATAATTAAAAAATATGTTTATACGGAAAACCTGCAAAGCAATGATGAGAGAAAATCTTACAAAATGAAAATAAAAATAAAGATAATTGTAAAAATTTGTTAAAGATCAAGACCTGAATGCTCGAATGACCTACGTGAAAGGAATGACCTCAGTACGCGCCATCAACTTTTGTGTCCAGCTAATCAAGAGATGTAGAAACGTAAATGTCAATTAGCATTGACGAAAATAGCAACGAGGAACATTATAGTGACTTACGAAGCGATGGAGGAGTTAGCGTTCCAACGCTGGTAGCCGTGGAAGTACTTGTTGGACTGTCTGAACGCTCTGGGCTCTTACCATTTATTTGCTTTGTCCCGTTCGTACCCAGTTGTGAGGAAGAACGTTGTTCTTGCGCCAATTTCTGCTCTTTCCTCTGTAGACAGAATATATGAGATTGTATCTCGATCAATGATCATTTTTCACATTCCGGGTTCCTTCTTATTTCATTTATATATATGTATATATGTAATACCCACCAGTTTATGTTTTCGTTTCTTCATTTCTTCTTCCGAGCTCATCATTTCTTGTACCTTGACAAGCCTCTTCTGATGTCGGACGACTTTTTGTTCATCGCGCAGTCGTTGTTCGGCTTTGTTTACAGCTTCTTGTAAAGCCTCCTTCAAATGACTGCTCAGTTTAAAGTACGGTTTCTCCACGTTGCCAATTGCCAACGCAGCGCGCCTTGCCGATTCGAAAAACGGGTGTTGCAACAGCTGCATCACTGTTGGCAGATCTTGTTTCAGAGCTTCCGGCGATAAGATGACTTCCAACAAATTTTTTAGATTTGCTTCGCAATGCGGTAAATCGGAGCACGTTGCCTCCAAAAGCGGTCGTCCGAACGCCATTTCGTACAAAACGTGCCCAAATGAGTATACATCAACTTGAGTCTGTAAAGAAAAACGTATCAAACTTAATAAATGTAAAAAAATAACTCGTACAGAGAGAATACTTTTTAGAGAATAACCGATAACGTATCATTATCTCCATATATTACCGTGGCATGTAATTTGCGCCTTTGAACCACGTAAGGTCGGTAAAACGCCGGCAATCCTATGAGTCCATTTTCTATATCCAATAATTTAGCGCATCTTGGAGTTAAAAGAACATTGCCGGTATGCAAGTGACCGTAAGGCAATCCTTTTTCGTGGAGATAGCCCAAAGCCTCTAATATCTACAAATCGTATTATTAATTATAAAGAGTAATTTCGAAATATCTCATTGTAATATATTCTTGTGTGCAATAATTATTAACCTGGTAACCGTACGTGGCAATTTCCTGCACGGTTAGTGATTTTATTTGTTTAGGATTGCCGTATTTTTTGATGAACGGTTGTTTAGGCTTGGTAATGCATAAAACGTCACGTAATGTGCCCGCCGCATAGAAATTTCTTATCGTTAGCGCCCCGTTGTCCGTAACATGCTGGTGTACTATCGGTTCGATGTAAGTGTGTCGTAGAGAGCCTAGGGTTTTGAAAACCCCTTGTATATCTTTATCTTGCAAGTGCTTGTCAGGGCCGAACTCGACCCAAGCTAGCAGAAGTTCCTGTTTCGGGTTCTGGCGATTTTTCACCGTATAATAATGCTTTCTCAATCGCCATCCCATATCGGGGATGGGCTTGCACACTTCGAAATTGGCATCGCTTCTTAATGCTAATGACACTTGTTGCAGTGCGATTTCTAGAAAAGACGAATAACTTGAACATTTCGCGCATTTGCTTGCATTTAATATCTAGAAACAAATTATACGTCTTTATAAAAAAGACGTTGAAAAAGATTCGTGTAACGTATAAAATATCAGCCCGTTGATCGACATTGCGCGTACCGCGTCTTTATAACACGAGCGATCAGCTTACCATGTAACGGTGCAGTGTAATTCTCAGGGTCTAAAAACTTTTTCATGGGAAGCGAAGATGCCAGTATAGGATTCATTAGTACTATGTTTAGATAATTCTGCAAGAAAAGGCGGATTATCTTCTACTTATCGTGTCGCACGAACGCGGCGCATAAAAAGTGAACGTCTCATATTGGGATGAACCTGCAGTGCTATTTGTCGCTGAGCTATAAAGTCTGGCTCCATGTTACCAATAATCCTTTTAGGTGGTAGTGGCAGGTCGAAGCCAGATATGGATAAAGCTGCGTTGAGCTGTACGAAGTCATTGTAACGTCGGCTCACTCTCCAGGATCTTTCGGGAAGCGGACCTCTCTGTGTTTTGATTACGTATTCCTAAACAAACCACACAGTTCTCATTATGCGTCTAACGATTCGGTGCAAAGTGGGATTATGAAAACAAAGTTTGAAAAACGTAACATTGCAGCTGACTGTACATCCTCCAAATGATGTGTATATACTCATGTACATATGTATACGTATGTTACGGTAAAAGCGTAAAATTCAGTAAATATATACGCTTATATTGAAATAGAGAGGTGGGGGGCACAGCCTCCCACAAAACCTAATCTAACCCAACCCAATCTGTATCATTGTGTCTGATATTGATGTTGCTTATTAAAAGATAAAATTTGAAACATAAACTTTAGTAAATGTATACATTGACTCTAGTAATGTATACACTGACTAGAGAGGCTAGAGAGCAAGCGTATACATTTACCGATTTCACGCTTTGACTGTGACATATACAAAGCTAACATACAAAGCAAACATATACTAATACGTCATAATGACAAAACGTAGCTTCAATCTTAACAGGATATAAAGGAAAATTCCTACGACGGCTTTAGTTAAACGAGACAAACAGGTCGAGATGATTACAGGATAAACCGTGAGGGGAAGAGAAAGAGAAAGAGAGAGAGAGAGAGAGAGAGATGGGAGAAAAAGGGGAGAAACGGAGGGAGAGAGAGGCGGTTAGAGAAAGAGGGAACGGAGGGAACTCAGAGAACGCAATATATACCGTATGTCCGTCGATGGTCCTCGCATTTTCGATGACGCTCGTCAACCGCTCCGTATCATCTAACAGCACTTTATTCGTGTATCTCTTCTCGAATAAAGCCATTGATCGTTAGTCCGACGCGAGGCAGGGCCCGTACGGGGCCGATTGCGTTCGTCTCTCGCACAGTTTCCGCGCGTCGCCATACATGACGCGCTTCTGCTTCATTTCAGCATTCGGGCGAACGCACGACGTGACGCGACGGCAACGGCACTGGCTGGCGACGGCGACACGGCGATGGCACTCGGCAGTGACGACGGCGGCACCACTTATCGCGGAATACTTTCAATGTCAGCGGTCCACGACACACGACACCACGTACAGACGCACGCAGGGAGGTGTGCGACTTCTCTGACTTCTCTCTCTCTCTCTCTCTCTCTCTCTCTCTCTCTCCCGTCTCGATAACACCTTCGACGCGCAACGCGCAATCAAATCCAACGAGTCAAGTCGCAGCTACCCGTGTCGCGTCGCATCGCCGCGCAGCCGAATCTCGACTCGACGGCGCTCGCCGACGCCGAGCGACTTGTCACCGGTGTGACGTCACCGGTCTCATGACAGGATTGACAGGGTGACAGGTGGATTCTTAGGACGATGTTTATAAGCGTCCGGGATTGTACCAAGTCCTGTCTTAAAATTGTCCGTCCAGCTATTGAAATTGATCTTATAGCACCTCGAGATCGTACTTAAAACGATCTTAAACTCGAGATCAAAGTATGAACGTCATATTTTTACGGTGTTCATAATAAGCGTTCAAAGATCATCTGAGATCCTGATGCATCTTTTATAAATGAAATGATCTTATGACATTTTGAACGATCTTAAATATAAGATCGAACTGCAAATATTATTCTCAGGACGATATTCGTAATTCGAACTTGTATTCAAGACCGAGTCCTAAATAATCGCATAATCGTCTCAAGCTCAAAACAAACTTAAATTAAATATAAAATAAGTTCTAAAAATTCAGTCTTCCGATAAAATAATCATATAATTTGAGAGTATGATTGAATAAATAAACTTAAAACGATCTTAAATAAGTCTGTTCGTATTGCTTGCATTTTTTGCATTCAGAATCTTCGTTTTCTGTCTCGCGTTTGAATTTTCCAAAAATTTTTGGAAATTTGAAACAAATCTAATGTAAAAGATCGGACTGAGAACTATCTTTAGGTCAATTGCGCAGTCGTGTCGTTTTTAGATGCGGAACGTGCATCTAGGTATCCGTATGCCGTGACGGATATTGAACGAGAAAAGATCCGGGTCGATTAATTTAACGTTGCGTAACCTGTAACCCATTGTATGTACATTTCCTAAATCATACATTTTAATCTTTTCGCGGACCAGCGGACAAACATGTGAAACTATCGGATCCACAGCTCCGAGCTCCGAGCTCCGAGCGTAGCGAACACCGAACAGCAGGTAGTTGCGGCGCGAGGAGGTGCAGGTGCAGCTGGCTGGCGCGCGAGTGCAGCTGAGCTGTACGGTACGGATCGTGCGTGTTCCTCTTCCTTTCCTATTCCTCCTCGATGGATCTCCTTATTGGGACGAGGTCCAAACGGTTCGCCGATTGTCCAAGCTCGCTCGTTTGCGCGATAATTTCCGACGTGTAACGGCTATTGATTGGTGAGAATCAGTGCGGCCTGCGGCTGCCCCAGCGGCAGTGACTGGTGATAACCTCAGCGGTCGCGTCGACTTCTCCAGTCTCCTCGCGCTCCAGTGTCTCGAGATTGTCGAGATCGGCGATGCGAACCGGACGGCAGCCCGCGGCATGTAATTAGATCCAGAGCACGCTCGCGGCATTCGTCTCCTCCTTGATGCATCGCGCGTGGCCGCCGCGCGACTACCCCACGTCAAGCCTGTGTGATGATCCCCGTGACGTTGACGGCCAGCGAGTCGCAGTCGAAGCCGAGACTCCGAGGCGTCGTCGGTAAGATCTTCCCGATTTGTTGACGAAGGCGAGTGTACGTCCGCTGCCGAAAATGACGGAGAGCCTGATAACCGAGTGGCTGGCGGACTGCAAGGACGTTGCGCCGTCGGAGCTGCACATGTTCGCCAGAACGCTCTCGCAGGACAACGAGATCGTGCGGGCGCTCTACGTGCTCCTGGAGGAGCGCACCAAGTACAGCGAGGTATAACATCAACAGGGTTGAAGAATATTCTACGTTTACGTAGGAACTCTAGTTCTAACGTCACGTTACTCACTGTTTCCTGGAAATGATTGTTATCAAACCTTCTTTATCACTGCAGTGACAGCTTCGGATGAGTCACGTATCGTGTATCTAGAAAGAAATAACAGTTGGTACAACAGAGAAAAAGATATACATACACAAGTCATTATAAATCTGTCATTATTTGACATTATTTATAAATATGGGTCTGTTTTCTATTGTTGAACTGGCTGCACTAGTTCAGAGTTTATCTTTTTTCCTTTTAATGTAGAGTGAAAAAGATAAACTCTGAATTAGTACAGCTAGTTCGGCAATAGAAAACAGACTCAATGTTAGAATATGTCAGCAATTTTGAGTATTTGTTACAAGGACGCACTACTGACTGCTATCATTATATGGAGGGGTGAAAGCCATAGTGGTGTAGGTCAAATTTTTTAAGCTATTGACTTGTGTGCATAAATGTAATCTATACAATATATAAATTGCATCTACGCACACGAGTCAATATCTTAAAAAATTTGACTTACATCACTCTGGCTTTTACCCCTCCATATAAAACATTTACAGCCGAACATATTTTTTTAATGTTAAATTATTGTTGCAGTTAATGGACGAAGTATGTAATCAATTGTACAATTTTTATCGGTCTCGGGAATTAGAGTTACAAAGGTTCACTCTGCAATTTCTACCGACGCTAATACATATTTATCTAAATTCCGCTGCACATGGTGATATTAAGGTAAGATTGTATTTCCATTGAAAATAAGAACGTAATATCATAGATAATAATATCCCATCAGCTTACTTATTACTTGTGTCATTTGTCAATCATACTTTACCCTGTCATGGTATATAATTGATATTTAAGCAAAATTATGTAATATACTTTACACGACATATAAACCTAATGTCCTGTGTTACCTTGTTGCGATAGAATTACAAAATTATCGTATAATCTAAATGTATTTTTTATTATATTAAAATTTTTATGAAGAATTATTTTTGACAATTACTATAGCAAATACTAGAAGTGCAAACGGTATATATTTATTAATAATATCTAATTTCCAGAGTTGTCGCTCTCTTGAGACTTTATTAATTGGATTATATAATCTAGAGGTGGTCGATAAGTCAGGACAACAAAAAGCGATCTCATTTAGATTACCATCTCTTGCTATGCTATCCATATATCATGAGGTATGTTGGCACATATATTTATACATATTTGATATATAGATCTGCTAATGATAGGACTAAATGCTTAAGTAACCATAGACGGCACATTTCATATGAACAGATATGCAGTAAGGTTCTACTTAACGTTCAGATTACACTTCTTAAAACGTTAGCGTTTTGTTCGAGTGTTATCGGACACTAATGTATCAAGTGTTATAATCATAATCATTTAAAGAGAATTCAAACTGATGAGTTTAAATTTACATTCCAGAAAAAAATTGTTTTTATGAGAATTAGCTTACTTCGATAATTTATGGCTAAATAAATAGATTATTTAATATAGAAATATTTAATTTATATAAATAATGTTAAAGAGAATTGTGCTAAGAAAAAATATTACTTGCTAAATTATTTTGTATTATTACTATAGATTATTAAATTCCAGTATTATTCAATATAATATAATATTATTTTAAACAGCCTGCGAGTCTAGCACCCGCCTCGCTAACAGAAAGCGCAGTACGTCGTTTTGAAGAGTGTAACTCAAAACTTGTGAGCTGGGGTCCGTTGCAACAAGTAGAAACATTGAATGCGCAAAACAGATTGAAAGTTATGACAGCCCTACTTTTTATTTATAATCAACAACTTGGATATATAAATAAATTTGCTCTGGAACAATTGTGCAAAGTCGCAACAAAGTAAGTTTTATTGCAATTCTTAGCTGCGTGAAAGTTGCTATTTTTATTCTCAATTGCAATGTAATTTTATCTCTGTTGTAGGCTTGTTACTCAAGGATTTATGAAACCGGGACATCATCAACGTTCCTCATATGGCAGTGAGTCTAGCTTTGTTCCAAGGCTTTTACCACGTATACCAGTATCCAGCCAATTTCTCTTGGAATTCTTGCATGCTGTATATTTTGCCATGTATGTAATGCATTTTGCGATTTTAACAGCATTTTAGTCTGTTTTCTACATCTTTCTTATTACAAATCTTAATTAACACATCAATTCCGGTGAAGCATTTGGACTAATTTGCTAGCATTGCTTTTATATAGATATACTTTCTTCATATATAAATACGAATAATCTTTATTTGTAGGTATAACGAATGTTGGTATGTAGGAAATCAAGCTATAGAAGATATTCATAACAGAGCATGTTATGAAGCATATCCAAATGTAATGTTAGTTACCAACGCAATACGCAATTCTGCCAGTTCTGGAGCACCAGGTAATTGTCATTATAATTAGAACACAACAGGCGTAATTCATGTATTATCTATTTAATTAAGCTAAGTGTGGAATTAAAATGTGTTGGCAAATGTAAAAATATTTTATAATCCTTTTTGTTGTTGATTCAGGTCAACCGAATGATGGACCAATTGGAATTAGTGTTGCATTATCCCCAGCAACTACTACTACACCAACCGTTTCAAAGTCTATGATCACAAATGCTTCCTTCCGTACTAAGAAATTACCAGGTATGTTTATATATTGCGTTTTTATCTATTATAAATTATTAATCTTTTTACGACGACACGTAATAAAAAGTAAATTTAGCGGCAGCAATAATAACGAAAAATAAATTGTAATTACTTTAAGAAAATACACGAAAATATTACATTTAAAATTATATCTAAATTTATTACGCAAAGATAATATATTTGTTCATTTCTATCAATTTTTTTATTTGGTACTAACAAAAAATTCGTGTTTTATATAATTTCCTTAAGATTATGCTTGAAATTAAACGAAATTAATTATTGTGTTTTACGCAAGTTTGTACATTGGCGAATATTTCTGGTGAATAAAGGTGCTGAAATACTAACAATATTAACGTCACAGCTATGTTTTTCATTAAAATAGCTAACACGTATAAATAAAATTTTAATTGTGTGTTTGAATATTAGCTACCTCTTTTACATAACCCCGATATGTACAACAAACATAAATAATACACAAGCGGATATATATGCATGGACATGAATGTGTCGAGTACTTTTAGGTCCAAGCTTGCATGTGACATCCCTTTAAGTTTTATGAAATTATTGTTGAATTGAAAACGTTTTTTTGTTCCATGAATGAATAGTTGCCCAAACAAGCAAATATTGATACAGTAACTGCACACATTTCCAGGAAAATCACGTGCAATGTACTATTCATTTCCCCCTCATCTGTATTGTTTGATTTTCTTAATAACTCGCAAATTATAAAATACATACATAATATGTTGTTATAAATAATAAAATATGTTGTATTCCGAATTCGCGCGTTATAAAATTTTAAAAAATATATATAATAAGTGTGTTAGGGAGTTATATAAAAAGTCCAAACAAATGTGGATTGCGCGCCTATGTCATTAGACGATCTGGATGAGAAGTTATTTGCGGTCGAATTGAGCAATTGTCAAGCCGAGAAGCAACAGCGACCGGCAGTAGCGGGCAGCCACAAACGTCGTCCATGGCATTGGAAGCACGCACTTCCAAATTCGGTCGATAAGAAGGATACGGGCGTAGGGAAGGCGCAGTCTTCCTCCTCAGTGGAAAGTTCTAGACGTGGAAGTATATGCAGCAACAGCCAAAGCTCGCCGATAAAGTCCTCTCCCAAAAAGAGCAAAGATCAACAGTCGAAGAAAACGACTATTGACAATAAGGATGATATCGGCCAGAAAACTAGAAAAGATAGTATCGTAATGTGCGACTCCAATTTTCCCGACGATAGATTGGCAGCCGCTAACGCGCATCTGTATAGCTTGTTAGAGGAACAGGCTCTGGGAGAGATTATTCGTGAATCGGTGGAAAATGTATATACAGAAGGCAACAGTAAATCAATGCAATTTTGTGCCACTGCCGCACTATCGTCAAACACATGGTATTATCACTCCAGTTACAACACTGTAGGATGGCGTAAATCTCATCACGCTATGATTCTTCATCAAAACTTGCGATTATATTTTCATTTGGTATACACTAGCGCACACGCAGGAATGAGCTGTTAACTTATAATAATTCATGTGACTCGTGGATGTATTCCTTTCAGAAATACCACTCCCAGCTATAATGAGACATACGCATAAAACAAAATCTAAACAGAAACCAGTGCTTGACTGGAAAACATGCATGTCGACACGGCACATTTATCTTCCCGCACCAAGAATTTCAAGTATATTGCTCGACTAGAAAATGTATTCGATGTTCCTTTCCTACTATTTTATCTGTTTCTTACTGTACTCATTTGAATATTACTTTTACTTGCAATCTGTCTCTTTCCTTTTTTTATGCTATAATTCTTTGCATATTCTCTCTCTCTCTAATGATACATGTTATTTTTAATATTCTCTACACATCCTACATGTCCCTTAAGTGTTTCAAAGTCAACTTATTTACAATATATTATGAACACATAACTAATAAAAAGAAAATGATACTGGTTTACACCTTTTGCAAAATATCTCTTAGTCTTTTTGTTACAAATTTTTTTTCCTTCTATTGCATATGCACAATGCAATTGATATGCTATTTAAATGTCTCTATTCTAAGCAAACATAAACAAATTTATATTTGGCATACATATCTCTCACATGTGTAACTTAAATGAATCATTATGTAATAATTAATATATATGTTTCTTTGCCTCTAAAATGCTTGTTAACTTTTAATATTGCTTTTATTATTGTCAACTTTAATTTGACGATAAAAATTTCTTCTCTTATAACACAGAAAACATTTTCTTTTGTCTTCAGATGACATACCAATACAAGTAGTAAAAGATGAAACTACCGGAGAAGGTAAGGGTAACCTGGTGTCAATCATGGAGGAACCAGAATCAACGGAGCCGAATCGTATTGGTTCCATGAGACAATCAAAGGATCAAAAGACTGCTTCGAAGATAACGAATTTCCCTGTGCTCGGAAAGAAACCCAAAGAGAAAGAGGGAAAGGTAACGAAAAATGCTCACGTCGCGTCGTCCGAGAAAGAGAAGAAGCTCGGCTCTCAGGCGACGTCGAAAGAGAGCATTAAAGGAAGTTTATCAATGTTAAATAGTGAACAACAAGCGGAAATTGACGGAAACGTTAACGGATGTGCGATCCGAAAGAAAAATAATATAGAGAATAATTCGATCATAATAGATCCAAACGTAGCGTTGATCGACGGTGAGAGACTGGCGTTAAGTAGTGACGTTACCGATGGTAGTAATATGGAAAATTCTATTAATTTAAGAGCACATAATGAAACAGAGTCTTTGGGTTCTTCTATCCAAATCAGCTCTGTTTAATGATGATAAAAGTATATAAAAAATGTTACATGAAAATAGTAATGGGCTGAACATATTAAACAAATAAGCCATTTTCTTCCATCTAGTAAAGTCTTATTAAAATCCATGTATAATGTGTACACGTTGCCTTTTTCTAGAATTATTTAAGATCACACGCACTATTTTCTCAACAATGATACATGTATATTGTTACTGCATTGCGATGCTTATATAAGAATCGTATATTTTTCTTGACATGTAGCAATTTTAGTCAGTCCATTACTCTATTGATCTCCATGATGATAAACATAAAAATCAGAGAGGGAACAATATGAACTAAAGGTACACGGTTGTTTCGTTAAGTGTTTTGTGCATATTGGTGCATATTGACTTATTTTTTTGTAATAAAATCTATAATTTATTCTATATATTTTATAAATATATGTCGTCATATGATATTGTAATACCTCTTTATGCAGATACAGTTATCGAGTTTCACTTCTAGAGATTATAGATCATTACAAGCGGGGAAACAAGTATTATCATAATGCAATACATATATATTTTGACCCAGATGTGTGCCTTGTAGTAGTTGTGCGAGCCTTTTCTTATGATTCCAAGCATATAAGTAATAAATTTATGTCCAAAGGTACATTACAGTTATCAAACGCAGCATAAAACGAAGAGTGAAGGATGGCGAGAGGGAGAGAGGAACGGGGTGTCTAAAACAAAGCTGCGGTGTCATTTAATTATATAAACGGGATGAATAGGTATCTATATATAGAATATCAGGCATATCTGGGTTGAATAGTAGACACCTACTATTAATTTTGTCATAATTGTTTCGATATGATATTAAAGGTTCATGACGAATTATTTGTTTTTGCAAATAGTTGATATATATATATTAACATAAACATTGATATATGTATATACGATATATATGTGATTGTTGGAAATAATTACGAAATTCAGATATAAAGAGAGACTTTATTCTCACGTGAACGTTGACCCACGATGAAAATGGTCAACTAATCAGGAAAATATGTCATCCGTGCATGAAAAAATGGGAATTGAATAGTAGATATGTATTTTTCAATGAACTTCAAGTTCAACTTTGCCTTATATTTTATTCCACGATTTGTGTTTAAAAGTTTGGTCAAGATGCGATCTTTTTGTGTGTATGATTTGTATATGATTTATAGTGACATAGAAATGACAAGTAGCAAAAAGAGAGTCGTGGCTTCCAGGCGTAATATAAATTTGTGTCCACACAAAAAAATTTTTGGATATTTTTACAAATTAAGTAACGTGTGTGTTCAAAACATACATATAAAAAGATATTGATTTAATCTTTAAACTTCAGAGTCCCACTTCATTTGCATGTCTTTGCGCATTTCTTTTTAGAAGAGATGTACAAATAGAGACGTAAAGTCGGCGAATGAAAGAGAGATGCGCCAAAGAATTGCAGCACGCTACGCTACTTCACGTGATAATTAGCTCTCCCTTTAAAGTTTCGCTGAGGCGAAGTAAATTCCACATAAATTCCTCAAAGGACACTATAATCAATTCCCACTTCTTTATGCTCGTTCTGAGTTCACACCAAGTTATACTAAACTGTTGATGTGTAAATATTATAAAAACTAACTATGTATAGAGAAGAGAGAAGAAAGTTTTTGATTCAGATGTAAAAGAATCGTAATATATTGTGAATTGCATTTGTTAAAAATAGGTCGAGATGTTCCAAACTGTGAAACAATATATCATGAACGAAACGGAGTCAATGCTTGTTTAAGGGTCAATGATTAATTACTCTATGGCCTATATTGTATTAATTAAAGTATAATATATGGATTGTAAAAATACATTGAAGTTATTTGGAAAAGTTGATGATAGCAACGATAAAAGTAAATGCCGCTACTTTATTTATGACCCTTTACAATGATTTCTTTTACTCGATGTGATAGAGCTGGACAACCCTTTAATATACGATATGTTACTGATACACATATCTAATTGTTTTCATGCAGGAACATATATGCAAATTACCTTCCACGTTTATCTTTGTATTATTTAAATAAAACTGTTTTAAAAACCGTTTCCTGAGTTATAAACCAGTGAATGTGAATTGTATAGGAAATATTAATTTCCTCTTCGTTATTTACAGCGACAAAAAATCCTTAGATTTTATCATGTTTTTAACATTTTATACTTTCTGATTTTTCAGGTACCTATTTTTATTTCCAGATCTTTACATTTTTATGAGAACATTTTTCTGTCCCAATTTTTGAAATATTAGATTTTTAGGTACTCTCCGATTTGTGAATAATTCAAGCCGCTTTTAGACGATCAATAGCGCCTGTCGAAATATCGCTTTACGGAGTGCCTTTTAGAATACGAAACGAAATCGGGCCGACTATCAGCTTTACAGATTCGCGGCTGTAAATTCTCGATCTGATCGCGAAAGGGAAAAATAAGTAGCTTTCCATTATATAGTATCTAAGGAAGATAAACGGACGGATTATCCCGCTATCTGTCTTTCGCGATTCTCACATCAAAGTGGCGACCTTTGTCGGGAGACTTATTTGTTTCTCACCGTTGCATTTACATGATTAGTCATCGTGATGATGCGTTATTGAAAGATGCGCTGAATTTTTAAGAGAATCCAGGACAATAAAGATAAGAAAATTTTTCAGACGACGGATTTTGAAAAAGAGCGTAAATCAAGTCTGAGGATTTAAGGATATGCGGCTCGAGATAAGAATGCTAGCATAGAAAATTTTCAAAGGGTATATTTCCACGCTTTTTCCACGCACAACCTTGTTAATATTCTTCAAGTCATTGGGTTCTAAGGCCTTCCTTGAATCTAAAAAATCCAATTGTCGCCTCTCATAATGGGCTCTATAACTTTCAACTTCCTTTTCTCCGCGAATATTGTGACATCCTAAAATTCACTCTATCTTTATAACTGAATTTCTCTCGCTTCGAATTTTGATTGAAAAAATTGAATCTCTTGTCGACACGCCGCACACCGACATCGACATGTCGACCGCTACGTAACACAATTAATACACGGACTGATCGTGACGTCTATCAATTATTATCTGGGGATGACAATTAATACCTAGAAATTTTGATCATAACGGGGATAGATTATTAACAGATGATACAGTTATACCGCAATGACAAGCAGGACGAGTTTGGCAATATTGGTTTCACACTACAGGAAACACATTGACAGATCCGTGCGGCGTTCAATAGAATATTTTAAAACTTGATAGGATACAAACTGTGTCAATAAATTTGCTGAGATGCATCTGAAACCAAATTTCCTTTGACGCAAATTATATCCTCGTCGCGCTTTAATAATAACTTTTTAATTTTTAACATTACAAATTTCGCAAATTAAGCTCCCAATAAATTTTTGATTAAAACAGAGTTTGATTAAAACTCGAAACACGAAACGTTCCCGACAAACAATATTCTAGCAGCAATGTTATTTGTGATCGTTATTATAATGACTGTTTACGAAACTATACAAATTTCCGCACCCTTTAGGTATTAGCCTTTAATATTACGATACGCGAGTTTCAGTTACTGGATTAATATAATTGATTAATTATGAAGGATTAATATAATTTGTTCCGAATTATATAATGCGCCTGAAGCTATAATTGGAAGAGATATACATCATTTGAACGATTACGAAACAGCGGGTTTATTCGATTTCTGCTATAATTACATTACACTCAGCAGATCTGTTTAGTTTACGTCATCAATCTGATGTTATCTCACACTTCGTTGAAAAATGTTATTCAACTCCTGCTAGAATTCTATGAGTTATTGGATATAACTGATCCAATATCAGGACTTGATAGATTACCTACGTGGACGTCTTTGATTAGCGTTGCAAAATAAAAAAAATTCTATAATTTTTTAATCAACTTTTCTAACATATAGTTTTACCACGTTTTCTTATACATAATAAAACGTATTTAAATTTAACTATTTATAAATTTGTGTTGACGGTTTAGATTGTCTATAAATTTTATTCCTAAGTAAAAACTAGCTATAAAAAAAATTAATCTCTCTTAATAATTTTATATTTTTACTGGCAAGTTCCTAATTTCAAAACTTTCTCGAGTTGGAAACTCGCAGTACAGTATAAGTTTTGTTGCATCTTCCAGACCTAGGGTCGAACTCTTTTTCCGACACCTGTCACATTTCGGAAGTATTGATTTTTTCAAGTCCTTTAACTTTCTAATGCGAAAAGTATATCGTTCTTCGCGTAGAATCCGTGGCCTTCGGGGAGTCTAAAAGCTCTTGCTCCGTTTCGGGATTCACCGCGCCCTTGGAGAAGGATTCGTCAGAATTTGCGTGTTTGCGTTCCTCTATTCAGACGCGGTATCGCGGCGGAAGGGCTGAGCGCACTCCGTTCCGTCCGCTTGTCGACTTCAAAGCCGCATTGCGATATCGCGCGCGGTTTCACGAATCCCGTCGATCCGTCCAGAATTACCGCGCGCTACCGTACGTGCTACACATTCGCGCGTCGTCGACGACGATCGCTCGCTTGCGTATCAATATCCGACTACGGCCAAAGCCAGGATATGGAAAGCCCCCATATCCCTCATCGACTCGAGCGACGAGCATCGCTCGGCAATCCGCTCGTAATGTAATGTAACCACTATATCCTCCTCCCTTCCCCGCCCTCCTTCTCCGAACTCCGCCCGGAGGAAAATCCGTGGAAATTCCTGCTCGCGCGCGCGTGTACGTTTGCGACGAAGCTTATCGTCGTCACCGCTTTCGGGGGAGGAATGATAATCAAATCGCGCCGGAACTAACCGGAACTCGTGCCGATAGGACGACGCGGGAACGTATATGCGGCCGTCCGCAAACTCCGGAGTAATACGCATAGTTGTTGACATCCCGCTCGAGATAGGAGGTATTTCGGGGAATGGATCAGGGCCACGTCAATTTGCAAAATGACGAATTCATCCTTGAGACGCGAAACGGTCGCTTTGCAATTATCCTCCTTTCTCATTCATATATTCATTTGTGCGTCCGCAAGAATTGATGAGAATTTACATCTCGCGAATTTATTCAAAATCCTTGATCCACGAAATTATTAATCTATCTTAAATTTCCCTTCTTCTTCCCTTTTAATCTTATGTGAGCGAATTAGAGAGAACTAATATAATGACGATGAGCGAAACTACAAGGTTCGCGAAACCTGTAATCTTCGAGAAATTAAAAACCAGTTTTATAATTTTCTCAATTTTTTTTTTTTATTTATTTGAATAAAAAATGTTGAACTTTTATATTTAGGATTAAAATATATTGGAATTCTTTTTCATATTTCATTTCAGAGCTCTATTAAATTCTTTTCAATTATAAACTCCGTCATCATCAGTTTTTTCTACCTTTTGTTACTCGAAGAATTTGAATATTTTTTCAATGCGATCCAAAGAAAAATATTGGAAACCAACTACTGAGAGAATTTGAAGATTGGCAATTCAAATTCGCCGAGATATTAGCTTCATCTTTATAAAAATGTATCTCGAAAATATTTTAATAATTTTGAAAATAACAATTAATATTTATTTATTTATATACGTTATTATATGATATAATTAATATGTCATATCATTTATATTCTCAATTTAACATTAAATATCCAATAACAAAATTAATATCTAATAATAACATTATAAATTCGAGATTGCAGTTATATAATTGAAATCAAATGATGAAATCAGTTGTAATATATCGTCAAAGATAAAAACTGAAATAATAAATGTTTAAAAAGAGAAAGAAGCAAAGTTTGTAGACACAATCTGCAAATTCTATTTCAAACAGATTTCGATAATCTAACCGCAGCTTATAGATAAATACAAAAAATAAGATGTTAAGAATGATGTGAGCAATAAACAACATATATTTTATATTACATTTTCACGTATTAACGTGAACCAAAATCGATGGACTAAGTTTAGAACTCGAGACTCAACTTGAACCCATCGAAACTTTGCTCCGCCGTGAGCTATAAGCCTATCTGACCGACATTCTCGAACATAACACTCTAATCCATCTTCCTGTACCGTTATAGATGATACAGGTACATTCGGCGACGCTTTCATTCGGTAAAGGGCTAACGAATAACTAATTCTAACCGGTCGAATCGTCTCGAGAGAGGGCTCGCGGAAGCGAAAGCTTCGAGAGGCCCTTCTTCTGCGCCGGGCACTCGATAATTCAACGGTGATATCCGCGTATTCTTATACATGAAAATCAATACGGAACTACGACGGACTTTCGTCCCCGTAGTCGCAGTCGTGATCCCGACGTATCGTGCAGGGCACGTATCTATGCCTTCCTTTTTTTTATCGGAAGGGCAATTGGAACGGGATTGGCACATCCGTTGTACGGACGCAGTTCGTAAAACACCGTCCGAACGGCGTGGGGTGGGCAGGAACCAGCCAACGTAACTCCGCCGGAAGTACGGAGGGAATACTCCCTTTCTTCATCCCCCGTGTCTTCTCGAAGCCGTTTCTTCCCGTCGCTTGCCCCTTTCTTCTTTCGCGTTGGCAAGTGATCAAGTCGTTGAGGGAATCCTTTATTGGGGAGGTATCCAATTGACGAGAATATGGAACGGAATGATAACGGGGAAGGTAGCGGTTGAGCATCTGATTGTCAAGTGTCTCTCGAATACGTGCCGTATTAACATGTATAAAGTGCGAAGACGTTGCTTCTCGCATCAATCCAGGCTACTCGAGGAAACTTCCGTTTGCAAGTTTCATTAAGCGAACGGTAGATTGAAATCCGTCTTGGATCCCTTAATCTGCGTCTTTCGCGCGAAATTGTCTGATTGAGATGGAAAATCTTTTACTAACCCGACTCTTTCTGTAACCGACGTTTTAAATTTAACGAGCCGAGAATAGATTTAATCGTGATCGTCTTTTCGTAAAAAAGAAAATGAGTTGAGGAGGATTAACCCGAGTCTTGATCCTGAGATATCCGGGAGGCTCATAACGAGCTGTTAGCTTAATAAGCTGGATTTCGGAGCAGCTTTGAGCGGATTAAAAAACTATTTTTCCACAAATATCGTTATGAAGAGAGAGAGAGAGAGAGAGAGAGAGAGAGAGAGAGAGAGAGAGAATTGATTTTTCCATAGGAATAAATATTCCTCTTAACTATATAATATTATTTTCTACATCAAATAAGCTTAAATTTGACGTTAATAATTACGCGGTCTTAATAATTGTAAAATATCCTTACTTTAGCGATTGATTGGTTACATTCAAAGCATAAGATTGTTATTTTACAAAATTATTCTTTTGACTTAAACTTTATTCATCTCGTCTTTATTAATTAATCGATTAATAATGCATTTCATTATTATTTACAATACAACGCGTTGACTTAAACTATACGTACGATAAGTTACACGGAAACGATGGTAATTATTAAAGTAATATTTACGTCACAGCGAGCAATGTACACGCAGATGAATTATATCTATATCTGCTTATGTAAACTGTTATCAAACAATAATGAAAGTGGATACTTATACAAATTTAATAAAGAATTTTGATATGTAGAAAATGGATAAATAAGAAATACTATTATTTAATAAAGATTTAAAAAAACGGATAATTCGAAATTAAAGAATTCTAAGAAGTGAATGCTTAAAAATTCAAAAAGTAAACAATTCATCTAAAATAAATTGATTTGAGCATTCAGGAATATTAAAATGCACGAATCAAATAAAATTCAAGCGTTTTCAAATTGATAGTTTTAAATATATATCGATTAACATTTTTGTAATTTTATTGAGCGAATCATTATCGACATCTGCACGCATCACATAAGATCATTAGCAAAAAAAGATGGCATAAAAAATAATTTCCCTTAACCCTTTCAAGCCCGAATTATTTTTACATCGAAGATTTGTTTTTCTAGATAAATTTATACTTACATTTATATATTTTTTAATTATAATCTCGGATTATATTATAATACAATAGAATATCGTTGACAAATATTATACAGTATAATGTAACATCATGCGATATGATTTAATGCACATCCGTATTATTTTACCCTACGTAATTATATTATAATTACGTAACACAATATATTATATTACATTTATTTTTATATATTTAACACGTTCTTAAGAAATTAATTAAAACGATCGTATAATTTTCATAATATCGTGCGCCGTCGGGGAGCTGGAAAGGGTTAATGAGTCTTATCCCTTTAACTTGCTTTTACATTAATACATAATTACAGGTACAGGCTATCTTGTGATCCGCGAACACGCTGACGAAGCACATTTTGATCTTGGAAAGCCCGAGTAATCGATTTGCTGCTGGAAAGGGCGGATTACTCCCTAAGGGTTAATGAACGGTCCATTAATGACGCACTAAAATACGATCGGTCTCGATCGAAAATGCCAAACGACGAGATTAATCTAACGTTTTAATTTTTTTTTGTTACTCCACGGATATTTGATATACACCAAAATATGAAAAATCGATATGTGCCGCGAGTCTGTCATTAACATGCGAACGATTATTATTCACGATGACTAAACGGTCGCTTAATTAACTTTCATTCAGATCAATCATCGTTTCAGCAAATCATTCTAACGATCTTTCAGACATTCTTCGACATTTAAAATTTCCAACTTGTCATTGGAATTATTATTACGCTCGACAATCGAGAGATTAATCGATCTTATTAATTCTGAAAAACTCCTTTCAAGTGTCGGTTTAAATTATTCATGGTATAAATTTATGAATTCAAACGAACTAGAATTTTTTTCATTTTTTTTCATAGAATCAATTATTATTATTAATGACGCGCAAAAATGTTGTCATTAATTTTATTTTATGGAATTTCGTATTAATTGATTGTTGTTAGGAAATGTCAACTTTTTCGAAAATATGTTAATTGATAATTATAATTTTCAACGAATTTTCAACGATAAATAATATTTTACTCACGAAAGAATCGTCAATTAATTAGAACATTGTTAATTAATTAGAAATGTCGGAAAACTGTGTTTATTTTAACTGTGTTTATTTTTTACTTAAAAATAACGTTATACGGTAACTTCCTCGGAAAATCTGCTCTTGTCATCGAGGTTGATGACTATGGCGTGTGTTCTAGCGTGACCGGATTTGCTCCTGGATTTGTCTTTTAAATCAGCTTCTTTGCCATCCTTGCCATGACACACTTCCCTGCCGACGTCCTCAACAGCGTGCTTCGAGGAGGTTGACACGGCGATGTCTTTTCCGATTTTCCTCGGCTCCGATGTCTCATTATCCTTCGACGTATCCCGCGTATCCTTTCCTCCGAGCCCGTTTTTCTCAATACATGCGCGACATTGATTTTCGCTCTGAGAACCGTTTCCTAAACAAAGGTAGAATTATGTGCCCCTCAGGGCTCCACGGGATATAGTGAAAAATTAATAGATTATTTTGAACGGGCACAAAGGGAGAACGTAAATAAATAAAGCGTAGCTGTTGTTTAGACTTGCGGTTTCCACAGTAAATTTAATATAACCGGGCTAGTTTTCGGGACAGTTTGTTTTGCCGTTCATTTCCTTTTTCTGGGCTTCCGATGCGTCAGGAACAATTTCCTAGTTCTTGCCCCTTAATTCCCAACTTTAAATATAAATGAAATATGCGAGCCATATATACTGCTTTTGTCAGAATTTCCACTTTTTCTAATTTTATCCACCGTTCCCAGAGCTACGATCATTCCTAAATCCGTGCCATTTTTAAACCGGAAAATTTCCTCTGATTTTATTTCCGACTACTGGCTCCGAGCTCCGAATGTGCACATATAAATAAAATGTTTTTCTTCAGTTCATATATACAGAACTTTTATTGACGAGATTTTATTTCCGACTGCGCTAATCTTGAAAAACGATTACAATATATGTATTTCACGAGCCCGCTGACCTTTCCCGCGAAAAAATTAGCACACAGTTTTTTTCAAAGTTACTTTCTTACCTGCCCGGGTCTGTTCCTGACAAGCTTGTCCGAGATTAGTTTCCTTCGTCGATTTATTGAGATCATTCAACTGAACGATGCTAGTCGAAATGGCTTGAATAGTGGATACTTGAGCCTCGACTCGATTGGAAGCATCCAGCATGGCTGCCAGCTTGCTGGAGAGCTCCTGATTTCCTAATAATATGTTCTTCTCCTTCAGGATCTCTAATTGGTTGAGCAAACGGCGGAATTCCTCCTGAAAAGAAGTTTCTCTTGCTACCCCTATCTTATATCTGAAATACTAAAGAATTTAAAATTTAAAATTACAAAGGTCTTAAGACTTAAGACATCATGATTTTAAAGTTCCAAGATTTCTAAAATTTCAAGATTTTATTATATTTCAAAATTCTAAGTTTCTAAAACTAGAATATTCTGAGATTCTAGGGTGCCAAAATTTTAAAGTTTTAAGCTTTATGCTTTAAAGAGTTTACAGCTTAGAGGATAAGGATTCTAAAACTTCGAGAGAACTTTGAAACTTTATAACTCGAAAATTAGGATAACATTAGGGCAATACAATCGAGATTCGCTGTGAATCTAGATATTCTAGATCTAGATCGGATTATGTTTAGGTAAGAGGAAGTGTATAGCTTCCGGTATGCTCCACAGGGACCGGAGAGTCCGTCGTCCGACGGCTCCGGTTTACCAGAGCGCTTACCGTGACAGAGTCGCTTTCTTCGGCGAAATTACCCTGCTGAAGCGATATCGAGTTGGTCTGGTTACTAGTACCCTGCGGACGACTGCTTTTCCCCAGGAACTTGCCGGTCGCGCCGCAAAGTTTGCCGATCGCCTCCTCTTTCCCTCCGTCGCGGAACACCACATAAGCCTTTGTTAAATGCGACGTATGTAACAACCAAACTTACACAGCATCGGGTTTCTATTCAAGCTAGTAGGAGGACTTTGCAGTAATCTTGCAAGAAGAGAGAGAGAGAGAGAGAGAAAGGGGAGGAGAAAGAGAGAGAGGCAAGTAGAAAACGAATCGGAAATTGCGCGATTTAATCTCATTCGTGCCGATTGAATTTTAGCTTGATACGATACCGCAACTTCTACTTTACTTTTTCCAGTAAATCTCAAACAAGGAGAGACTGATCTATTTACAGATTAATTACATTTGATCACGCGTATCATCCCAATCTTGTTTATTTCGAATAAAGTTTGCTCGAAAATATTTCGAAAACATGTTTTCATTAATTTTTTAATAAAAACTACTTTTTATTGCCAATATTTAATATTTCAAAGATTGAATAACATCTGCAAATTTCTCGAAAAAAAAAGAAGAACTAAATTCGCTATACTACTATAAAAATTCGATGCGTTTAAAACTGCTGCAATAAATGTGTAACTGCATAATATTTGAATAATTCACTACGTACAATTCGAAATTAAAAAATTTTTGGTCAATCGATACATTGACGTAACAAAATGCGTGCGTCAGGCCGTAAAACATGATGATTGTCATATAGTGAATAATGTTTGTAATAAATAATATTTCTTACTTTACTGCCGAATATCAGACAGAGCAGCAATGTGACGGTAAGCTGGGTATGGCAGAAAAATATGATGTACAATAAATCCGGATTGGCCGGCGATTGCAGGAACAACCTGCAGCAACGGGAAAGAAATTATTCAGAGCTGTTAGCCGCACGAAGCGCTATCGTGACGTAAGAACGGCGAACGCTGCTATACTGTGTGGATTGTCCCAGATCTTCCGTTATTTTTATTTGTTTCCTCCATCTCAAAAATTCAAATTACATCCTTAAATTAGGTTGCCCTACATTCTTGATTGCATTAAGTTTTAATGAGAGATGCGTTTGATGCGACTACCTCTTTTCTTGAGAAGAATTGAAAGGAAGATTTAACAAAGGGGAGAGAAAAACGCTCGGGGATAATAAAAATTTTACGTTGCGGTTTGAGAATTTATCGTCACGGCATGTAATCTTCTGTATTGAAAATTGAAGTAAATCACAAAATTAGTGCCGTTAGAAAAAATTTGATTATAAATTCGTCAAGGAAGTCTGTCATTAAATTGCAGTTAAGGTGGGACATGTTGAAAAACCGTCGACACAGAGTATTTACATTTAAAATAAGGGTCGCTCTAAATTGACTTACATTATGCATTCCACGGTTAAATTCTTGAAATATAAAATTCCGAGGAATTTAATTAAATTTAAATATATAAAAACCCTATTGCCGCTTATCGCATCATCGAGCGGTAAACTCATGACTTAGAGAATCGTTCCAATTTCCAATATATATCGTTCGATAGAGCTCTTTCAACGCGTTCGGAGAAACGATTCGAACGAACGATCTCGTGTTACGAATAATTACGAGCGGTGGCGAGGTCTCGCGAGTGATTCCCGACCGAGCTGTAATCGGTCACTCCGAATAATGAATAGAGGGAAAAAGGGAGGTCTTATAACGCGAACTTACATTGAAACGTTGAGGAAGACTGATAGTAGAAATTCGTTGTAAATCGCCATTGAAATGAATCGACTCTCATTAAACTCCGACGGAGTCTTTCTTACTACGATGCACAACCGGATGCCCCACACGAGAAACATCACCTCGACTGAAATCACGTGAAATTCCAAGTCACATTAGTCTCAATAGCAAGTTTAATGTTTTGCTGAAAAGCCCGCAGAGTCGTAGCTAGCGTCACTTGCGTACCGTGTGGCTGGAATATTTTCTAATTCCGTTCTCGGTTCACATACGTGTGCAAAAGTCGAAACGAACTCGTGCCAATTTGCGTCCTAGTTACGACTCTGTAAATCGAGGGATCGATGGATAGTTCAACGATCTGTGTGATTACAAGTTTTCCGATTGGAGAAGTCCTTGGGAACTGTCAGATGTAACGCAATCAGATAACTTTGCAGTTAAACTCTTGAAATGTAAATTTCAAGGAGGGATTTAAGGAATTAAGAGCCTTCTTCAAACTGTATGAGTAATCGCCGATCGAGTTGCAGCGTGTTTGTGTAAGATTTTACGTATTAGCCGTTTCTTTGGAGATCGTTATGCGAAAAAAGTAATGCTTCTTGCGTTGCTCTCTGACGGCAGATGAATGCGAATTAACTACAACGCGAGGTACCCCCTCGATGTAGCCGGTACGTGCTACCAGCTACATTATCCATCTTGATTTAAAATTGCGTTCGGCCATCTGCAGTATTACTAAATCAATATGGCTCACACATGTGTACGAACTTCCACATTATATATTATACAACACGTATATTGTATCACTAATACGCTCTAATCCTTCATAACGCCGTATTAACTATGCGCGAGCGTGCATACAACGATACGATCGCTAAATGCCTCTAATTTAATATAAATTAAATTTGATATACCGCCAAGGGCAATTTTCCGACGGCAGTGAGAAGCGTCATGATAGAGACTCGGTAAATATTTTACGATGTAGACAGAGGCAGACACACGTAACTGACAGTGGAAATGGGTAATACGAACTAATGCTACCTGCCACGTATAATACAGAAACTTATGGATATGGCGAAGCTGGAGGGATACGCCGAGAGACAGATGCCCACTTTCACGCCTCATTTACGCGGTATGTCCCGGAGGTGCTTCGCGCATTTTTGTCCCATCCCGGTTAAACAAGATTCCTCAGCGAAAATTCGGGACCGGGATTCCCCGGTACTTATTTGTTTTGAGCGCCATCCATCCGCGCGTAACTCGCCTCGCAACTTTCTATATTAAATATTTCAGTAAATAAGCTTCATGTGCTTGAAGGCGCTTGGGGTGAAAAGCAAGCGCGGAGTTTAATTCATCAGAAACTCTCTAACTTTTGATCGCATTCTTACGTGTGCGCAAGGGATCGATCATTCCATAAAAGCAAAGTTAATCCAATGCCGCCTACTTTCTGTACCATATACATACATATATATATGTACGCGTGCATGTACCGTAGCCCCGCCGCGCGCTCATATTTCACTGGAGCTTACGATGCAGCTTGCGATTACAGAAGTCCGCGGTATCGAAGGCAACGTACCGAGCGTACAACGAAGGATTAAGCGAGTCGATATCTCTTTTTTTTTTCTCACGCAGAACACAGTGGTACTCACGAGTAGTGAAGCTGTGGTCCCACCAGTCAGTTCGGCAGAGATACGCTTTGAGATCGTCGGCGGTCCGCGCGACGATCACGACGGGCGGTGCGACCAGTGTTCTTATGCTAAGGAACACGCTGAACGTTAGGACGATGATGCCGAGCCGCTTCAGCAGGCTCGCGTCCGTTATTTTCACGGCCTTCGCCGATTTCACTCGGAAGATCACGGATATCCTGCAAGTACAACATCACGGATTTTTCGTCAGATCCATTTTTTTCCGTTTGCAGCAATTTTCGTTTTGTTTTTTTATTTTGTTTTTTTTTTCCTTTATCGATTGACTGACCGAGCCTTCGTAGCTCGATGAGGGGATTTACGGATTTAAAAATCTAAACAGCGGGAGTTACCCGTAGCATTTTGCAAATCTAAATAGATCTATTGATATTCCATGAAGGTGGTATCTAACGCAAACGGCATCGTTATTTTTTTTAAATCGATAACAATCAAGCCGGTTATAACTTTTGTACGAATTCCAGCGGGTTCTCGAAAATTATGTGAAAGAATATTATGAAAGTTGTAGAAAACCATCAATATATCAATTCTCATTAATTTTCGTAAGACTTCGAACTTTAACAATTCAATTAAGAAAGTTAAAGAAGTCACGAAGTAATCGAAATATATATCTCAAGGTATAATTAAATTAAGACGTTGCGATTACAGCATCATAAAACGTAGAAGAAAATATTCAAACTCAATAAAAAAGACAGGAGAACGTCAAGATCACTTATATAATCGTCATTGGCAATAAAAATTTGACGAATGAAGAACAATTCTTATCTCGGCGGGACGAACAAGGAAAATGGTCACGAAACGACCAAAATGCAATACCATCGAGAAGTGAAGTACACTTACCGCCACGTTTTGAGCATGAGTGCCCCGTATGTGAGAGAAAAGCCAATTTCTCGTAGCCATACGCGCACGGTGCACGTGATGATATTTGGCCTGGGATACATAACTATAGTCTGCAACAAGCAATCATATATTTGCAAAGCGACGCTGCGTGAGCAATTTCCGACGATTATGCGTGTGTCGCGCCAGCACATCTATGCACATTTGCCCAGAATATTCAGCCCATCTCTATATTAATCGTGTAAATTTTAATAACGTTATTTCGATAAATTGTCTCGTTATAGCGTTGTCGCCTCCTGGAAAACGTAATTACGCAATTAGAATGTAATATTTAAAGCGCTTTAGATACACGCCTTTGAAACTGATGACGAGAATCGTCATTGAATCGTCGTCAATGTGCGTATTTATTATTTACGCGTGGATAGGGATATATAGGACAGACATATATAACGAGGAAATTTATCATTAATTGGTATCTAAATAATTTATGTTTAACGCATAGCAGATACGAAAATGATACATTATGTTGATACCATATATCGCGTGGGTATACGGAGAGGACAAAATATAAACATGTTTATTAAAATATTATCGCACATTTAATATATATTTCAATATATGAATTTATAAATGTCTATTTCGCTGCTTGAATCTTGAAGCGCTAATTCACACTAATAATTTTCTTTTTTTTGCTGCTCCGTGTAACTAAAATTATTTCGAGATATTTCGAGATAATATTTATAAAAAAGTCTGTTATCAATATTATTAAAAAAAAAAAAAAAACAGTCGTGGAAATAATATCTGAATATTATTGGAAAATCCGCTATGAAAAGCGCGGAGAAAGAATACAGAGAGCAAAAAAAGAAAACAGAATTCTCGCTGAACGAGCACTTTGGAGCGATTTTTCTTTTGTGTAACACGACGCTCTGACATCGCATAAACTTCGGACTCCAACACGGATTCATAGACATGTTAGAATGCTCGGAGACTGATGATTTTCGCGCAGAGAGAAAATAGGATAGCAGAGAGAAATTATTAAAATATAAGAAATAAATCGATTAATAATGATATAGCGTGTGTGAACAGTTTTACACCTCGTTCTGCGTATTCGCGTTTATTAAAAATACATCTACGTAATAAAAATAAAAAAAATGTACACGCGTTGTAAAAAAATGTAATAAATTCCCGTCTTGCAACTGGGCCGTAATTTTTTTCTCTTACGCTCGAAAATGAGGTTCAAACCGCCGGAAATATTGTAAAATTGCGAAACGGAGTTCTGTCTTAATAAAACAGCCCGACAGGAGTGCGGATTGCGGAGAACAAGGAGAAATTACGGACGGTTCGCACGCACCACAAAATTCGACGGTGGTTCCGCCAGATTTCGCCGACTTTCCGGACTGTATCGCGCGCGCGATTTACTTACACCGGTGCAGCGGCTCTCTCGCTCGGCGAGATATAATACCCAAGTTTAGTGAGAAACGGGAGGCGGTACCCTCCGTAAGCGAGCAAATGACGTCCCATTAAGAATAGTACTTCGAGTTTAAGCGAAGCCATCCGGGAGTTCGTACGTCGTAAGAGCAAACATTACGTAGGCACGTTTCCATCTCCCGACGAGCGACGAGCTCCCGGAGTTAGACTCGGAGAACGTCTGCTACACCTTGATACTAACCCCTTCACGGCCGTGCCATTACTCCAGCGGGAGAAAAATCACGTCGCCATTCTGGACGCGGAGAGGCCGGGTCACGTTGCCGACACTTACACGTGACGTTCGTGGCTCGATGTTCGCGCAGAGATCCATGAGCGCGCGTTTAAGTATCTTATCTTATACGTTTAGATATCTTGGAAAGGAGCATTAGAGTTATAATATATTTTACGAGAATTCCGCTTTCCGTCCTTTCAAGGAAATCTGTACCAACATTAGGTTTAATTTTTGTTGATCCGAATGCCACACGGGACTACTGTATTTACTGAGAACATACTTGTTGTCACTTCAGCTAAACTTTCGTAGTAAATTTTACAATCCGAGAGACGTATACTGTATACAACTTTCGTGTAAGTGAGGGTCACATAACTACTTTCCTGCACAAACACCTCCCGTAAACACCGAATGCCTGCGCCAGTTTCCGTTTAATTACTACAGCTTAAAGTTTATCATTTAACAGTTTTCCAGTGGAACGACACATGTGCGTGAAATAGTTTACGTCTCGATGCGTTATAGTTGATAAATTATTAATTTATACGATAATATATGTATATACAATTAATAGTGCGAAATGGCGTTATATAGTCTTAAAACAAGATTTCTTTTTTAAAACATTTTAATTATTCTTTGTTTCAAAATTCTTTTAAAAATATTAAATTAAAAGTCGCATCTCTCCAAGAAATCTTTCTGCACAAGTAAGAGAAATTTGAAACAAATAACGGCGAATGCAAAAAACCTCATTTACAACGTACGTTGCAAGAATGAATTTGCAAGAAAACGTGATTTTTCCTGAAATAATACAATTGCGTTTTTTAGTGCGATGTTGCGATGTAACTGCAGCGCTTTAAATTTTTTGCATGCGATAATGCCCGAGTAATGATGTAACCGCTTACAATAAACGCGGTGCGATGGGAATTATCAAGTTAAATTAAATGTGTCTCGTGTTGTGTCTCGTGAACGTTAATTAAGCATTTCATAGCAGCTTCCCGCGATGACTTAAACAGGTATCTTGTGGGTCGTTCCGTCGAAAGGCGAACTCGTAGATCGTGTATACGTGAGAGATCCCCGGAGTTTACGTTTATACAAATGACTTCTCGTCGACGGGATCCGTTCCGGATTCGATAAAGCAGGTTTGCGAAATGTGATAGAAATTCTGCTATCAACCCGATATATCACGTAAGAACGTGCGCGGAATACGTATCACAGCAGCTGTCACTACGGGTCAAAACTCAGAACAACCCAGAATACGATGTCTGGGAATTATTTTATGCTACTGCTACGTGATCTACGCGCTTGACAACGAGAGTGGGCGAACTTCCATCATGTTGCGGGAACATACCCCATCGGATAATAATCCGCGTATAATAAGCGTAATAATGAATAATAAAAAGCCCTCATTTCTTTTGAGGGACGCCATCAGAGACGCGCTGCTTTGAATCGCTCTCTCTCTCTCTCTCTCTCTCGTGAAAACTCTCGAGAAATCTGCTTAATTGCAAAGATCTCCAATTTAACACAAGTTAAAGTGACTACTTCATAACTCTGGAATATTTTGAAAGTTACAGATTGCGAGAAGAGAGTCATAATTACAGACGAGATAGAGAGCCGATGGATTACGATTTCTCATGGGAAACTGGATGGCCGCGGGCTCATGGAACGCATCCCTTTGTCCGATACCTACATTCGGCACGTCCACTTTAATTAGCAAAACATGAGGGCCATTAATAGCTGGTGAATACACGATGTTCGCGACCGATGTGTGCTGCGATACCGCGAATTATGCGTTATCATAATTGGCGCATAGGACGCGCGTGTATACATTAGGGCGGTGCAGTCGCCGCGACATATGCGGTTATGCAACCGACGCGACGGGATGCTGCATGCGGCACAGGAGAGAGCGGAGAATGCACCGCGCGGCTTCTGCGCGCGGTAAGCACACGCGTGAGGAGGCTTTGTTATCGGACGCCGACGCCACACGACCCTCATGAATATGAAATACGTTCTAGGGATATGTGAGGTGAGGCGACGCGCGAGACAGCACGACGCGACTACGCGACGACGCGACGACGCGACGTGAGGATCCCACTTACCGTGCAGTATATGAAGAAGGCGCCCAGGACAATCACGCGCAACAAAACCGGGCTGGCCGCTCGTACCACCTGCAACAAATCGGTTTGCTTGTTCATTCACGCGCCGCTGACTTGTGAACTCCGCGCCGATGCCGATGGGACGGGACGCTGGGGACCGAACACGCGTAAATAAAATCAGAGTCGCGACGAGAGCAGTGGGCGGAAGATCGCGTCTCTCCTGCCGTTTGATGCGAACTGGCAGAAATCGCATCTGTCAAAAAATGACCTCGATCTACGCGATAGTTTATATAGACGCGGAGACTTTCGAGACGTCAAAGTTTTCGATTCACGGGTCCGTAAATCCTCAAGATTCTTCGGCATACTTTTGTATAACGAAGCTTTGAAAATTTTTACTCCCTCTTCCTTAAATTCGTCTTCTCCGATACTTATTTTACCTCATTGCCAGTACTACGAAAATAATATACATTATCTTTAAATTAGACAGACAGTTTTGCTTTTCTAATTATTTGCGGTAATCGGAATTTACCGCGGGTGAAACTAATCACGTTTATTTTCAAAGGTACTACCACAGAACGTGAAATTTCTCAATGGTATTCCGGGTTATCTGTTATTTAAGAGTATCTCCCAAATGCTTTATTTATGTTGCCAGCTGTTTCCACAGCATTGTGTTGCCCAAGTTTATATTCAAAATATACATGTTGGTTATACACAAGTGAATAGAGCGGGTATCTAGGCGTGCTCGCTGTTCACTTCGGTTTATTCTGTTGAACAAAATCTGTTTATTTGCAGAGATTGCAGTGCGATCAAAGAGCACACTGTATATACAACATGTTTTATTAGACATACACACTGCAGTGTGTTATGTTTAAAAGTCAGAAAAAGTGACTGTAGAGAAATCGTATTTGCAGTCCTGTCAAAAATAGTTTTGAAATATGCAGTTACATGCTAGATATCTTCTACTGTACCTTTAATTAAAATATTTATATTTTTTATCGGTACTAAAAATTTTTTCCAAAATACATAGTTACGAAAAATACACATCGCAAGTATAAATGAAGAAATTCTAGAAAGGGAGAAATTAAAGGTGAAATAACTGTAGATAAAATAATTTTTATTAAAATAATTTTTATATTCAGTATTTCGTATTTTTTAGATATTATTTTGCGCTTCTCTCGGAAAAAAATATTACAACGATACAGTTCTGCAAATACGACCTTTGAGACTATCCTCAAATCTGCCCGTGAATTGCTAAAAAGTCAGCTACATGCAACTTACATGACACTTTTTGCCGTGGAAAAAACTAGCGTGGCGCTATCAGCTTGGAATATTTTAACTTGCTAACGTGCTAGCCGACGACGAAAAAAAGTATGTTAGTTTACCGACGTCTTGAAATATGTATACGGCGCTTTTTTACTACCCATTAGTGGAACGGCAGGCTTGTGGCCAATAAAGAAAAACATTGTGGTAAACCACGCTCTCTTAACTCATAAATTACAGTTCTATTAAAGTAATCCTGTTGTGCAAAACTGCAACATTTGTGTGTGATATCTGTGATAAATTTAAATCTTTCAATTGCTCACAACTCATAAATTATTCAGCCTATAGTTTGCCGAGGAAGATAGATCGATATTAATGAAGACGGAATACTTTGCATAATACAATGAAACTCGTATAACGCGATAATATAATATTTAATGAGCGGTCCGCGGCGGCGGCGGCGGCGTGTTACAGACGGACTCCTGTAAGCGCGATACTCATTGTCAGTGGTGTATGTATTATTACGGCCGCCAACTGAATTCTTAAAGCCGATAACGGGTTATAAATGCGTCGCACCTAGTTTCATCCATTTGCGCTTTCATACGATATTCAAGAAACGTGCTGAAGTAAAGGAAAGGTCGCGGGCATCGCGATGGGAAGTGCCGCAAAATCCGCCGCAGCGCGAACACCGGGCGGAGAATAATAGCGAATAAAGTGAGTTAAAGTTCGTCTCCCGCAACAAAGCTAATTTCCCGTTCGCGTGTCTCGACTGTTTCATTCGCGCGCTCCAGGACGGACTTATTTGTTGCTTCCGTTTCACCCCGTTTTGCACCGCGTTTTATCTTGGGTGGGTGACAAATAAAAAGAGGGAGAGAGAGAGAAAGAGAAAGGAGAGGGGACAGAAAGAAGGAACCACGCTTTTGACCCTCTCGGGAGTTACATAGGCTATTAGTGTTACGAGCGGTAAAGTGCAGTTTCCTTTCTGGCAAAAGGCGATTTGCACGAATTACCGAAGCGGTAAGACCAGGAAGGACGTATCTGCAGTTCGCCAACTTCTTCTCGGGAGACGAATGTCCCCTAACGATCTTCCCAACGAAAAACGATCGCTTCGACCACTTTAGAGAGTTAGGCAACACCCGAAAACCGAAAACTCTTTGGAGGCCTTATCTTTCTTTCGACTGCATAAGTTAAAGATCGACAAATCGTAAGTAATCTGCTTCTCCGTCTCTTACTTGGCAACAATGCGGTTATCTAGTTGTAATTAGAAATTGTATATTCAGAATTTCAAATTGACACTAAAGAGCACGAACAAACTTGCCAGGTGTGAAATTCCAGACGTCGGCTAATGCGAATGTTGAATACGATGGTGTGATTGAAATTCATACAATTTACGGTACAAACTTGGGTATTATTATTGCATGAACTTGAGTGTAAACTTGAGCCGGATATTGCGGAAGCAACTTGTAACATGAATTAATACAACGCGCTCCAGATCGTCCGTTAAGGAGTGATTTATCTCACGGAATTAATCTCGGAGAATGGCATTTCAATTAGCAAATCCTTAAGTGCTATCAAATTCACTACCGAAACCCGAAACACACATGCGTGATAATTAAAATACGTTATTTTAACATTTTAACTTGTACGATCGCACTCGCCGAGTCGAATCAGACGTCAGATGTTCGTCGATCTTTCGATCCTTTTGAATAAAGCAATCTCGAAATGGAAGAGAATAATATTTGTGTTTTGCCTAAAAGAGCTTTAGAGTTTGCGTGAATTCTACGTGAATCCGTTATAATACACATACACACGAGTTCCATTATTCTGATTTCGATTTAATCCACGTTACGTCCGCAGACGCGGACCATTATTACGACCGGCGGGATATTAAGCTATCTGAACACACGTAGGTATATATATTATGTGCCACTTCATAAGACTGATTACGCCACGATATTAAGCTTGTAAATCGTAACTCGAATATAGATGCTTGCGGGAGGACATCGAACGACCGAAACTTTAGTCGTGCTCGAATTTGCTAAACTTGCGCGCATCGCCGTTTATCTTCCCAGATTTATTAATGGGGTCAAGAGAGTCAAGGAAAAGAATAAGAAAGCGATTATTCCGTCCGCCTTTGTCTTGTCATCTCTAAATCTAATTAAAACATACTTGACTTTAATTATACCATACGTAATCCTACTTTCCTTAATTAGCATGCAGTGATAAAGTAGCGATAATTTAAAACACTTTGCAATTAATTTCAATAAAACTATCAGTTGTTCTCCGTTTCCAAAAATTTCTTCTAAAATATCTTAATTATTATCTTATTATTTTTATATATAAAAGATCTCCAAACTGCGAATATACAATAAAAAACGGAGTGATCTGTCGCAAAAAAAGAATTTAGAATAAAATTTTTCTCATATAAAAATATTTATCTTCAAGAAGAATAATTTTGAAAATCAGGAAATTAATAACGCGCAACTTATGCTTCCTTCCAATATATATTAGACTGTTTAAAAGATTCGCGTTTATTCTTATTTTATTAATACGAGAATTATATGTATATGGTAATGGTACTCCTTTGAATCCATCGAATACTTTTCCTCTATCCCGCCCAGGATCGTTTTTTACGGGAGCTTACAGGACGCCACGCGCAATTTTAATGCATGGGATTCTCAGGGCACGTCGCATGTTTCAGGCTGGGATCCCATCCGAGGAAAATCAAGAGGCAGGGAGCCCCATTCTACGGGCGACGATGGCTCGACGCCACCAATTTCGGGATTACGGTGACAGTATACCACGGAAAATCTGGCCGTTTCTCTGCGCGAGATTCAACTCGGGGCGACTCGTCACAAATTCCGCGAAATTATCGTCGAAAACGCGCAGCTGAATCTCCACCACGACCATCTCTCCTCTTCCTTCTTTAGCTCCTTTTTTTACCCGTTGCTTTCAATTAAAACGAGTCTCCACTAGAACTGTTCATGTTGCTTTTTCGCATTCGCGACGTCGCAAGTATCTCTCGTGAAAGCGGATGGTTTTACGCGGGATGATTTATGCCTGTGCCCATCATCTGATATGATTTTAAAGTACATATATGATTTAAAGATACGGCGAAGCTCCGTGTTATAAATATCTGAATAGCTTAGCATTGAGAAGCTCCATCGAGTATTCAATAGTGTTAAAAATGCAAACAACATATGTGTTTGCAACTAAAAAAAACAAAAAACAAATGCTCAAGACTGCGTAATTAGAATAGGAAACTAGACCAACACAGAGCAGAGGAAGAAATTTCCTTTCTCTTATATTTTTCGTAGACACATACGTCGATTATATTTTCTTCGAAAACTTCATTAGTCTGCCCCTTTCTCGAAATTCCCGGATCATTACCGTCGCAAAAACACCGGGGAGTTCGCCACGTGCCATTATTGCGTTAATTAGTGTCGAATCCTAGAGTACCTCTTTGATATCTAGACAGGTCGAACGCAGCGCCGCGCTTCTCGCCCTCGTTAAAGGCAAAGGCTGCGAGGTGCTATTTCACGAGCCCAAGAGCTCGGCGAATGAAGGTGTTGGGAGCTCAGAAGGACTAATTAACACTTCGCGGTCGAAAGGATTCCTCGCAATCGCGCTTTTAATACGAAGACGGGTTTCAAATATTATTTGAAGAGTTACGGCGACAAAGAAGAAAGCCCGATAGCCGATATTCAGAATAAGCTCTTGATCGAAAAAAGGATTTATCTGAATATAGAGTTGAGCGAGGGGGCCCCGTATCTGCATGTTTATTTACCCGTTCGATTTATTCGAAGCTTTATCTGTATCAGTTGAAACTTTATCCGTCGCGGTTGCATAATTTGAGAGGAGAGGACGTCGATAATTATTCCGATAAATACTAAAATTGAATATATAACTGGAGATAATGTAATAAATTTATCACGAATAATGATTATAATCGAGATAATATAATTTCACAAGTAAAAAGAAGAAAAGTTGTTCGAGTAATTGTTCAGATAAATGGGTGATATCAAATTATTGGGATAACTCACAAGCATAGTCGTGAAATGTATGGGCATCGTGACATAATTATTGGGTCACGAGATACTCATTCATCAGATATCGTTTAAAGAGACCTTGCACAGTATCCGGTAACTTTACACCACCGTGATAAGAGCCTTTCGAATAATCGCTCACGATATCGGAGGCTGTGATCTAAGTTGAACAGGATTAACGTGTTAACCTCGATTTATCCGATCGGCCGTTAAGATAAGCTGTAAACGCGACAACGGCACTCTCTTTCTACTGCTGAGCTTTTGTCACAGCGTTCAGATATCCTCCCGTTTAAACGAGTCTGTTGGATTGAACATGTCGGAAGTCTAAGAATATAGCACTCGTGACGGAAAACGATAGGATATCGCGCTTCTGAAGCATAAATATTTATGTATATAATGTATTGAGGTATAAAAGAGACACAGTATTACGCGAAAACGAGATTACTCTGCACGAGTCAGTTTAAAGCAAATCGAGTTTAAAATGAATAAAACTTAATGTGCGACTCGCAAAATTTTATGAATTTAACGCATTTTTGCATAATAAATCAAAATGTCGTTTTAAATGCCGTCCAACTGCGGACGTTACGCGGCCTTACGTTGCTCCCGCATAAATAATGGATTTTGGACGGAATGTCATCTACATAGATATTTCACTACGGACATTACTTGAGTCCTTGTTGGGCTTTTATCTCCGGGTAGACTAAAGATTTATACGCTTGTGGAACACGTTCTCTCTATTAGCTATCATGATATTAGAAATTTATTGACTCGCGTTTATACGGGTGCCTTGAAATATATTCCGCACTTCATCTTTCCGAACCAATTGTTCGGATTTATTTAAGCTTTGAGAATTAAGCTTTGAGCTTGCGAAATATAAAGATTAATTTGCAATGGAGAATCTTTTCCCTGCGAATGAGGAATATTCTCTTGTAAAATATCGGTAATGTCGTAAAATATTGAAAGACTTTAAAGAAATATAAGTTTGAAATCTCTTTTATTGCCTCATCTCAAAAGCTCTCTCTCTCTCGCTTAATTAAGAGGCAGTAGATACCGGCCTGTAAACTACTAAAAAAATCTGCTTCTGGTGGAAAAGATGAAAAGTGCGCTAATATTAATTCGCAGACTTCTTCATCAGCTATATTTATCTACATGAGAATCCTATATAAATATATAGAGCGTTAAAGAGGAGCGAGAGCGCGCGCTTACGCAGCATGTTGTATTTGTGAAAACGAGGCGAAACGTCTCCGTTAAATGCCGCATCGATAGTTTGGAAGGGTCTAACGTAAAGAGCCGCGGCTCCTACCTTCACATGCCCGTATTTCCATGTGAAAAGAGCGACGGCTGGCAGGCAAGCGATGATGCAGCACTCCAGGATAAGTATCGCCGTTCGCATCAGCCAGTTCAGGGATACGACGCAGGGCGAGCCATCCTCGCAGGACTCGCACCCCTCGGCGCACGGCAGACATTCAAACACCCCGCTCTCGGCATATTGGTTTTTTTCACCCTGTTGACAAACAACGCGAAATTATTTCTCTCAAGGAGAGACTCTCCGCAAAGAAGTGGTGCGATAACTGCTAGCTGTTCCTCGAAATTAGTTGCTGCAGTTAAAAGAGAGAAATTCTTTTACTTTCGAGAATAAATACGACGCGACGCGCGTATTTCCTTTTCTTATTCGAATTTCATATTACGGATTAAATACACTTTGTATTGGACTTCAAGACTATGGTTTTAGTGAATATAACTTTATTCTATAATCGATAATATCTAGTTATACTGCGATCGTATTTCCCTCTTCGCGAGTTCCCTTCTCTGCAGTATTTTCAGATACAATTTCCGCCATAAATGCCTAAGCATTAATTAGAATTGACGTACATCGGAAAAATATAATTCCTGAAAAACATAGTGGCAAAAAATTTTTTCAAAAAAAATTATCAGTAAGTTAATATATCTTTACAATTAAGACGGCATTGAAGATAATTGTACTGTTTCGATCTAGAAGAAGACAAGTCATATTTAAGAGATTGATTTTTAGAGCAAGAAACACCTCTAAAAAATCATGCATAATATAAGATATGCATTACCAGATATTTTGCATGAAAGACTAACAAGAGGAATAATAATTTCCGAGTTTCTCTCATCCAATTTTCTTTCGCAATGGCGAGGAAGGCGATGTCTCTCGTGAAAAACTGAAATAATCATTTCCAACTTCCCTCTTTCTGGCGCTCTTTCAAGCCAACAATGCACACATCGCTGTCCACGACGCGCTCACCGAAAAAAAAAGGATGACACGTCGTTAATATCCCGGGTTCCCAGTTATTAAGGATATTCGGCGGAGGAGACGTCGCCCATTGTAACCGTTCGCGGTTACAAACGGTCGCGCCAACTACTGAAGGGCGCGACTGGAAAATAGTTTTACCGCGCGCGCGCGGGCGATGGAAATGCCCATCAAATCACAAAAGATACGTAACACGCGGTGACAATAGATGCCATCGCGCCTCGCTGTCAATACCCATTTCGCTTCTACGAGCACAGACGGCTGGTCCGACGGACGTGAAAACTGCACTGGAAAAAAAGTCTCTTCATCGCCGTCCGCTGTAATAGAATGCACGGTAACGTGCGCTACGTTGTAACGCCGTTGTCACCAGCGACGATCTAATTGCGCTGTCGCTGCGATCTTCCACTCCGCGATCCTGTTTTTGAAGCTTTATAGAACGGAGAACCGAACGGAACGAAAGTGTGGAATGCGATGCTGATATCACGCTGGATATTCCATTCAAACCGCATTTTACATGTGCAATAACGGCGAACCAAATTTATCGAAAATTCATCAAAATGTGCTTCAAATTGCACACCGCATCGTCGATCTTTTACTTTCAAATATTTGAGGGAAATTATTATTTATTTTTCTGGTGTTTTCGGAGTAAATAATTGTTTTCCGATCATAATTGAATATCATACAGAGGACAAAGTTATTTAATCCATCGACGAAATCATTAACTATATTTTTCAATCAAAAATCAATTGTTCCCGTAAACTTTCGCGAATTGAAAGATACAATGTGTATATTTCCATTTTTTTTGGGCGCGTTTAAAGTTTAATGAGAGATTCTCCCATAAATATGCTGAGGTGTACATAATCGACTTTATTTAAGAGGTAAAGGAGCCGTTATTGCGATGGGGTTCATCAAAATTTGATAAAGACTTTAAGAAGATTTAAATACCTTACATACTTTGTTAACACAATTTCGCTGCTTCTATGGTACAGTAATTTCTGTATTTCTGAGAAAAAGAAGATATTACAAAAGAGCATTAAACGTTCTGCGAAGCAGAAAATGGAGAGCGAAGCTGTTTTTACACATTAGTTCTACTTTAAACTATACTCACCATCATCAATCTCTCGTACTCTTCCTCAATGACCGTGCCATTGTAGTACCTCTTGTCCGATTTCGTGTCCGGGTAGTAGAAGCCTCGTTTGCAAACGCATCGATAACTACCGCGGCGGAAGCCAAGCCCGGGAATGGCGATGCACTGCGAATAGAAGACAAAACGATCAATTGTATCTAATCAGTGCTACGTGTTCAAGCCTTTCGTTATTGTGGACGGTTATAATCCATCGGAATTGTTTCGCGATAGCTGATCTGATTCATGGATCTCGCGGCTGGACACTCGCGCTCGAGTGTCCCACTTGATTATAAATTTGTCTATATTTCATTACAATGTGTCATTGAAAAATTGAAGTTTATTTTATCTAGTGTGCTTCGCGAGCATGTATTGATTTAACTTACAACTTAAAATAACGTTCATAATAGCACGTTTTGACTGGACATTGCTTTAACAAAAAAAAATTTTAATTAATCTTCAAAACGATGTTTTAGACATTAAAAAATTTAATTTCTCATTATCCGAAAGAGTTAAAGAAAAATTGCATATTAAGATTAATCTAAAATAAGTCAATATTAAAGACCTCGTGTTAAAATTCACTTAAAATAGGTCAATGTTAAAATCAGTGTTAAGATTTCAACGTCCGGATTTAATGTGCAATACTTTAATTTTAAAGTTTGCACGGGATCTATTTAAAGTAGTAGAAATAAAAACAATTTGTTAAAAGGGATTGTACGTAGCGTAAAAAATGGCGAAATACATTGTCTTTCGTATACATTTATGTAGCGCTATTACCGCTTAAGTGAAAAAACGAGGTAATATTAAAAAATATCACAGTTATAATGAAAATCTCCATTAAAATAAATATCTGCGATAAACTACGACCATGCCGCAGAATGAACCAGTCCAACAACGTAGTGAAAACAAATAAAAATAGAAATAAAAAACGCAGACAAAATGAGACGAAATAGCGTCATGAAGGGTAAAGAGTGAAAAAAACGTAAAAAATGGTTCTTATATCGTTTTTATAACAACGAACATATTTTACCCCTCGAAAGCCTCCTAGTTCACGTGACCGACGGGGAGAAGGATGCTCGAAAACGTTCTTTCCAAATTGCGATCCTCTCCAAGTTCGTGAGTTATCGTTTGCCGCGAATCGGAAAAACGCGGTTTCGGAAAAACACGAGGTTGAAAGTTTGGGGTTTACATAAAGCGTCGGCCGACAAGTGATATGTACTTGCCATTCTAGATTTCCCGTAATTTCCAGGATTTTCCTCCTGGTATTTACCTATACTCTTACGTGAGGAACAGCTGAACTTTCAAAAATTTGGACTGACATCTCCATAATAACGAAGATGTTAAAAATTTGTAATTTAAATTTTAATGGAGAATTTAAAATCACGTTACAAAGAGGGAGGTTAACGTTGGTTCCATTCAGGCTCTTACTACAGCAAACGTGCCGTGAAATTTGTCAAGGAATCCACGAAGAAAAATACGTGACTCACTTTACAATTTAAATATCAAAATCCGTAAAATTTAAACTGTAAAAACTCAATAATTGCGAACAGAAATTTAACTGAAACATAAAAAAAACCTCTGACGCATTCACCTGCCAGTCCTACCACACTCTCTTTCTTTTTCTCTTCCGCGAGTTTTAATCTATGAAAAGTAAAACACCGATAACGCGCACGCGGTTTGTTAGGCGAGACAAAAACGCTGCGCGAGCGGGGTGTTTTTCGCGCGGCGGATGCTAGCGCGGCGGGGTCGACAGTGGCATTTACAAATAGAGTCGGTCGCCACGCGGAAAAACACCTCCCCAGTGGTTTTGCCCTATTCCGTATGGTACGTTTAAGCGCGCGTCGCGCCCGACACCGGGAAGGACACTCGCGGGAAACATCGATCCTCGGGAAGAACGAGGCGAGAAATTAGCATTACCTCGGTGGTGCGCTTTTTGCACTTGTCGCTGGCGGCGAATATGTTCAGCTGCGTGGATCCAGCCGGCAACGGGCACTGATCTATGTCTACTCGGCGGAGGTCTATGTCGATACCGCTGGTACCCCTGCGAACGATAAATCAAACGTTTTGCGATTAAACCCCGGGGCCCCACGTATATAAGATAGGCTTACACATTAGACTTGAGCGACCGACTTGCGCCAGTTACTTCGAGGGGCTGAAATCTCTCGGCAGCAGAGAGAAACGGGAACGTGTCGACGCCGCGCGCCGTTCTTATCGGAATTAGATTAGTAATAGAAACTAACATCTGTTTTTACGCAATTCAAGTAGTAATTAACATCTGTTCCTAACTGGTATTTGCGCAAACTTGTGTAATTGCATTTCCCCGCGTCCTCAGAAATTGACAAGAGCTTTAACACACTGTTAAATTTCTAGTGTCAAATTATATTTAGGTACTTTCAGTTATCTTTAATCATTCCTATAAGTTATCACTGCTTCTACTCAAAATACGTTGTTAATTTCATTAAACCAATGGAGTTGAAATAATACTGTTTTGTGTCAAGATAATAAATTTCTACACGCACATGTTGAAAATAATAAAATGTTATTTAACTTAAGGTTAAAGATATTGGTTCAAAATTCATCCTTTAATATTTAACAGGTCTCTTTTGTTATTTATATTCATAAAACGCTGCAAAATGTGAAAAGAATAGAAAAATTCTAGGATGTAAATGTAGAAAAATTTGTATTGTACAAGAAAAGCGGAAAAGCAGACTCTCTAAAATCTTATTTGAATTCATACATGAAAAGTGACGTTATTAAAAAAGTGATGATATTAAAACGCTATTTCACGTTTTCTCTTGGGATTACACGTGTCTGCTGCGCTCTCGTTTTATTATATAATCTTTAACATCAAATCAAATTCTCTTGCTTCGTGTCTCCCGATGCATAATTCAACAGTGCGCGTGTTGCAGCCGATTATGCGTGCAATATATCTTCCGTTGATTCTCGACTCATGTAACCCGATAATCCTTCCGCCGGCATAAAACGCAATATGGTTGCTTTGTACGAAGAAGAGATATACGATATCAGCAGCCACTTCATAACATTCAATAGCCTTGTATAATATCCCGTATCGATTTTTTTCTGAAGAATTTCTTTTTTTTCGATATCTCGCACAAACGTTTCTATTAAAATTCCCGTGGAACTTGATCGTCGATGCAAGATATTACTCTCCCTTCGAAATTGCGAAACTGTCAATGCAAAATCGTCTCTTAATTATTTAGGTCTAAAATTAATTTCTCAATATTGAAAAAACCGCCGTAATTATTTTTAACCACGCTGAATGACGGCACCGCCCAGGTCTGGGACACCCTGTGTAACGTCTGAATCCCCCTCTTTCGATAGTTGGCCGCGGTATCGATTCTTGATTTGCAAGAATTACGATGCGTTCGCAGTTGCGCTGATAACAAATTTCCTTTAAACGGATATTGCATTCTTTGAAGCGACATAGCCCCGTTCTTTTCCATCCGGCGACATTTACCATGATTTCTGCGTGCGGTGGTCCGTGAAATTTTGCATTTTTGGATTTAAACGAGGGAACGAGGGAGAGCGACGTTATTTCCGACGTGCGATTGCGAGCGAATTTACGCTACCGGCGAACACATCGCTCGGATATTTCGGTGAATGGCGATTTCACTTAGTCCAGTGAAGTGGAAACGTTTTAGCTACATAGCAAAAGCGTTTTAATTCACTCGGACATCGAACACTAAATAAATTTAATTTCTTAGTTACATGGAAACTTTAGCGTGGAACTTTATTTCAATCGTTCTTTTTTTTTTTTTTTTTTTTTTAACGTACGTACGAGTTAAACGTATTAAAATGTAAAGTTCAGATAATTATCTCTGTGTTCACGTCAAGGAATATAACGAGAATATAACTTCTTACAACGCATGAAAATTCAAAGAGATTAAACACAATATCTCGTTTCGAAGCACAAGAATCCAGTTTCACGGGAAATAGATTTTGCTCAAGCGTTATTTCATTGTCCATCGTTATAGACCGTATGGCAACAATTTTATATATTGAGACAGCAGTGACTAGTTTCATATCCTGCTGCAGACAGAGGAAATACTTTGCGAATTTTTTTGAAAAACATCTCGGAATTGAACGTAGGAACAGAACGAAGGCAAATACGAAAATGGCAATCATATACCATCGCGTGTGCCATTGTTACCATGAAATCGCAAAAATTTCCGTCCAAACTATATAGCAAGATTGGGATAATATTTCGCGGAAGCCAGTATTTTCCATTTCCATGTTGGAGGCCAGCAACAATTAATATCACTGTATTGTTTCGTAGAAAGTGAGAAAGAAGGGAAACAGAGAAGGGAGACAAGAAGAGAGAGATAGATTCTTGCTCTGTTGACAGAGACTTCAAATGGCCGTTCTCGGAATAGAACTGAAAGCTCTCCGAACGGTTAAATCAATTTGCATAACTGAGTTCCGTTCGTATTTTAGATTAACTCTTCGTCTCATATGACAGCACATTTACAACATATCTAAATTTGCCATCAAAATAAATTGAATATTGATTTAATATCGCCTTCTGCTCTGTTTCCCTTCTTTCAACGCCTGCTTCTGTGAAAACTTGTTGCACTCGGTAATTTTGTTATGTATAATATGAATCAAGCTTTTCACCGCGAATATACAATATATTAACAAGATGACACTGTTTTCTTTCGAGCTCTTTTCTTATCCGGTGCAGGCAAAATTTGATTTTATTTACATAGGAAGATAGTTAATTGGATCACGTCCTGTATGCAAAAACCAGCCAACAATGTTGCGGTTGTTGGTTGGATTCTTCCTGCAGCATTTAATCCAATTATTCTACCGGGCAACGTCAATCAATATATAAATATTTGAAAATTGCGAGAAGAACAGACAAGTCTCCCGTTTGCAATGAATTAAATTCAGATTAAATCGAAATCAGATTAAGTAAAATATCATACGTAAATACAAAACAAAAAATAGAATTACACGATAGAGCTTTGCTATACAAATCTTTTCGTTAACATTTCATGCAAAATTTTATATTTCTTTTTATAATCTGCAGCTTTATTGCAAGTCTGTAATTTAGAGTTTTATTTTAATAAAAATTTGAGATTTAATATTATTATTGTGGTATCTAAATAATAATTATATAAAATTACAGTTTATAATTTCCGATAACATTTACCGTTACAGGTTACGGATTGCCGTGACAGAGAAATCGAGCTCAAATCGAAAATCTTACAGCTGGAAGAAAATGCGATTGTTTCAGAGCACTCCGTATATACGGGCATATTTAAGAATTTTCGCCGGGCTATAATAAGATTCTATAAGGGGTATGATATCTGCATACTTCATCGCCAGGAAGGTGAGGAATGCTGGAAATATCTCGGCCCCGTGTTCATCAAATTGGTCGTATCGATTATCGATTGCAGCTGCGAAAGGCCTGGGTTTCAACGGGAATTTCGAATTATCATCGCTTTCACGAAAGCACGACTTCACCTTCCATTAAGTTAAGTAGAGTCGGAGTCTTGTTATTGTTCGATTAAGTGCACGTAAATACTCCTGCAATTTATAATAGCTAGCGCAAGGGTAACTTGCATTAAAATTTTTATAAATAAACAAATATAAATAAATAATTATATAAGAAATATGTAATTAACTAGAGCAGGCACTTAACCACATTGTAAATTGGTTTTCTTTATCAGGAACAACACTGCATGTTTTATAAAAATGTCGGATAGCAATATATAAAATCTCAATTAAGATAGTGTTTCTCTCTCTTTTAAAATTTACTTAATAAAACACATAATAAGGATCGTAGCCGTAAGGCTTTTACAGAATGAGGTAGATTGTATTAAATTTCATGGAGAAAAAAATCAGTATTATGTTCGGTTAAGTATATTTAAATATGTATGTCCGTGGGTGTCCGCTCGATAATTGCGTTACAGCAACATTTTAAGCGCATAGTAGAAGGAATGTTGTTGTGGTGAGCGTAATTTAATTTATATAGAGAATGAAATTAACTAAAAGCAACAACGTTTTAACCTGTACCATCAACATAAATAATTTTAATGTTAAGAGAATATTCACATATACGTCAGATTTTGCTTAGTTTTCGGCGAATATGCTTTATAACTTCCTTCATTTATATTTCGGATTATATTAATTTGTTTAATATGATTTAATTGACATAAATTTATTCGGAAAGACAAACTTGAATGTGAATTATGTATTATAATGCCGCGATTGTATCTAATTTTATTATCAGAAAATTTTCGTTTTTAATTTCTATTCTGCATTAATATAATGTTTCTCTTGTATGCATACCTTTATGCACTAAGAAAAAAATTTGCTCCAAATATGCTTTTCGAAGGAAAGGAATTTTTATTATTCCATGTAATTTTACGTATAAATCTCACGTACCAATTATCTACTAAATTGACCTTAATTGATTTCATCTGCTCCCCCTGTGTACTCGTGCTGTGTTTATTTATTTACTTATCATCATGCGTTGGGCAAAACGCGCATGTACGTTTTATTATTCTCGAGTTGTTCCATAAGAATGCCGGGACGTGACGTGTATAATTATCGGCGCGTAATTCCGGCGCAAGTTAGGTCGGAGATAATAAGGTAACCGGTTAAACGTATAAATTAGGTGCGCATGTGCCTCGGAGGTTTTCGCAAACTCCCGATGCCGTGGTAACGCGGTGACCCGTGCCGAAAGCCCGAGCCCAGGCCGGTTACCGTATTACAAATTAGATCCGCTAACTCTTCTCTAGCAGATAATTCGTTTAACCGTCCGGGCGCGAAATAGAGCGGGAAACTGCATGACCTTGGCTAAGTGAATTTTTCATTTGGATACAGAACTGACATAATTACCAGTAATTATAATGCACCCCCCCTCGAGCCGCGGAGTTAAAGATCCGAAGGAACTTGGGAACAAGGAAGCTGGCTTTCGGGAAGCGTGGGATACATGCAAGGTGTTCGCGACCGATTGCATTTCCTTCCAGTCTACTGATCCTTCGACAAACTTAGCCAATCTTTCCTTCAAGG